TCCGGCGACGACGAACGCTGAAGCCTGCCCGAGCAAGGAGGAGGAGCAGCCTCGGCTGAATCCGTGACAGTACCCCCCCCCTTGACCCGTGCGCCGACACCGGCCTCGGGGACGGCCAGGAGGACACGGCGCAGGGCGAGTCGAATGACGACAGTGGAAATCCCTCAACATGGAGGGATCGAGGATGTCCCTCCTAGGGACCCAGCACCGTTCCTCCGGACGTACCCCTCCCACTCCACGAGATACTGCAGGCCCCCCACCCGACGTCTCGAATCCAGGATGGAACGGACCGAGTACGCTGGTGCCCCCTCTGTCCAGTGGGGACTGAGGAACCTCCCGTACCTCAGACTCCTGGAGTGGACCAGCTACCACCGGCCTGAGGAGAGACACATGGAACGAGGGGTTAATACGATACTCAGGAGGAAGCTGTAACCTATAACAAATCTCGTTCAATCTCCTCAGGACTTTAAATGGCCCCACAAACTGCCGACCCAGCTTCCGGCAGGGCAGGCGAAGGGGCAGGTTTCGAGTCGAGAGCCAGACCCGGTCCCCCGGTGCATACACCGGAGCCTCACAGCGGTGGCGGTCGGCGCTCGCCTTCTGTCGCCTGATGGCCCGTTGCAGGCGTACATGGGCAGCGTTCCAGGTCTCTTCCGAGCGCCGAAACCACTCCTCCACCGCAGGTGCTTCGATCTGGCTCTGATGCCAAGGTGCCAGGACCGGCTGATAACCTAACACACACTGAAATGGAGTAAGGTTAGTGGAGGAGTGGCAGAGTGAGTTTTGGGCCATCTCTGCCCAGGGTTAAAACCCGACCACTCCCCCGGCCGGTCCTGGCAATAGGACTGCAGAAACCTACCCACATCCTGGTTCACTCTCTCCACCTGCCCATTACTCTCGGGGTGAAAACCTGAGGTCAGGCTGACCGAGATCCCCAGACGTTCCATGAACGCCCTCCAGACCCTTGAGGTGAACTGGGGACCCCGATCAGATACAATATCCTCAGGTACCCCGTAGTGCCGGAAGACGTGTGTAAATAGGGCCTCCGCAGTCTGTAGGGCTGTAGGGAGACCGGGCATAGGAATGAGACGGCAGGACTTAGAAAACCGAACCACAACGACCAGGATCGTGGGGGTTCCCTTGTGACGGTGGAAGGTCCATAACGAAGTCCACCGATAGGTGGGACCAGAGGCACCGGCATATTCGGGGGGAATGAGCTGGTGGAGACCTGGTTTGGACTTTCCACCGTAGTTGCCCCTATGGAACACCTACACACCTCCCCGAGCACTGACTTGACCATCCCTTGAGAGCACTCTGTTGCCATGAAATCGTGGGGTCATGAGAAGTTAACCAGGGAAGCCCCAACACCACTGGAAACCCAGGAGAATCAATCAGATAGAGACTCCTTTTCTCCTCATGACCCTCCTGCTGTGACCTCCCTAATCAGGCCTGACCCTAAAGGGCGACTATCTAAGGCATGTACAGGGAAGGGCACATCAACAGGAACAATAGGAATCCCTAAACTACGGGAAAACTGACGATCAATAAAGTTCCCAGCTGCGCCTGAATCTACGAGCGCCTTATGCTGGGAATGAGGGGAAAACTCTGGAAATACAATATCAATACACATATGCGCAACATATGCGTCGGGGGCCTACTCACTTGAGACGGTCCACCAATGCTCTGCCTACCGCCTCGACTCCTAAAATACCCTCCCCAGTACCGACCAGCAGTGTGTCCTCCGCAGCCAGAGTTGGTGCAGGAGATGGCCCTTCTTCCGGTCTCCCTAAGTGCAGCACCTCCGAGCTCCATAGGGGTAGGGTCGGAGGTGCTGGGGGATGGAATGGACGGCCCCTGATCCGGACGTCCGCGGATTGCCAACAGGTTATCCAGCCTTATTTACATGTCCTCCAGTTGGTCCAGGTTAAGGGTGGTGTCCCTGCAGGCCAGTTCCTGACGAACATCCTCCCGTAGGCTGAATCGGTAGTGGTCGATCAGGGCCCTCTCATTCCATCCTGCGCTGGCAACCAGAGTCCTGAAGTCCAGTGCGAAGTCCTGTGCGCTCCTCTTCCCCTGTCTGAGGTGGAATAGACGTTCCCCAGCCGCTCTCCCCTCCGGTGGATGATCGAATACGGCGGGTGAAATCCTCATAGCGTACTGACGCTGCGTCTATTCCTCCCCACTCGGCGTTGGCCCACTCGAGCGCTTTTCCCGACAGACAGGAGATGAGGGCGGACACGCTCTCATATCCCGAGGGAGCCGGGTGGATGGTAGCCAGGTAGAGCTCTACCTGGAGCAGAAAACCCAGGCACCCGGCAACTGTACCATCGTATGCCCTCGGGAGCGAGAGCCGAATCCCACTGGACCCAGGTGACGAAGGAGTGGACAACGGTGTGGGTGGTTGTGTAGTTGGAGGAGGTGTAGGATAACCACCTCTCTCCCATCGCTCCATAGTGTTCAACACGCGCTCCATTGCGGTGCTGAGAGTCTGGATCATGGTCGCCTGCTGTTGGACACGTTCCTCCACTGATCCGGAAGGAATGAATGTACCTGCTGACTCCATGCGTGTTTCTGTCAGGGTGTCAGTGTGATGCGGTAGGACGAAGTCAGGCGCAGGACACAGAGCTAATCGAAAACGTACTTTACTCGTAGGTAACGTAAATAACAACCTCCACGCAGGGAGGAAACAAACCCGCTCACCAGACGACAACCAAACATGAACAAACACGCACAAAATACAGTGGGAGCCAGAGGGTTAAATAGGGAAGTAATCAATACATAATGGGAACCAGGTGTGAACAATAAAGACAAGACAAGTAGAACACAGAAACATAGATCGGTAGCAGCTAGTACTCCGGCGACAACGAACGCTGAAGCCTGCCTGAGCAAGGAGGAGGAGCAGCCTCGGCTGAATCCGTGACAATTATGGTGTTTATAATGGATGGACCCAGATGATCTGTCACTGGGTGTTTTCACAGACGTTATTATCTCTCTCTCTCTCTCTCTTTTTCATTATCTTTCATTAACTTTCCTCATCTCTCTTTGATTATCACTGCCTTGGTGTGCACGTGCCCTGTGGATTCAGAGGTGAAGTCACTGTCCTCTCTAGCTTCTTCTAAACTTGACCAGCCAGCTTGTGCCTCTGTCCCAGCCAATCTACCCCATCTCTCCCCACAGATGTGTTCTATTTTTAAGCAGCCTACTTCCTTTAATAAATTCTCCCTTAAATTTCTGAAGCAGTCGCCAGCAGAACTTCTTAAACTGCCGAACAACCCATGGGTTAGCAAGTGCTGGAACACTTTAAAGTTCTGCAAAACATATAGTTTGATATGATACAGCTTTGGATAAGAGCGTACAGTGCAGTATGTCCTGCAATGTTATGTGGTAGTTATTTGACATTATGTGGGCAAATAGTCAATTGAAAGTCTGAAAATATTGGAGCATTGTTTATATGTCTCGTTAACTGGAGAGTTACAGATACTTTTTATTGCTGTATGTCCTCGCTAATAGTTTGGGTAAAGTTGGTAAGTAGTGTTTAAAGAGTCCCCTGTGAGTAGGTTTTCTGGGGGAGATTTCCACCGCTGTGCTGTTGGCTACTGTTGTTGCAATTGATGTGTGATTCTCTGATTCATATAACAGACCTCAACTATTTTCTATCCATCCCATTACGTAATTTGCTCATCAGTGGATCTCACAGTCTGTGCTGACCTGCCTCTGTAATTCAGAAGGGACTCTCCTCTCCTCTCTCCCTCCTCACCCGTTCCTCCCTCCATCCTCAGAGAGACGAGACGATTAATCCTTAAGTCTCTTCCATTCTCACTTTGGGTGACACCTTGGACACACATGAGCATTCTGGAATCGAGTGGTTGCCATGACCACCCCTGGGTGACCCAGTAGTCAAGGAAAAGGAAGAGGAGGAGAGGAGGAGGAAGAGGAGCGAAACAAAGAGAGGCGTATCATCTGACGCTGTCCTCCTGAGGATGTTTTGGAGGTTTTTGAGAATTTTGAGAGAGAGCGCCACACTTTTTACTCTTCTCTACTGTTTCCATCTCTCTCTCTCATTGGGCGGCTGGCTTCCTACCCTGCAGCAAGCTCACCTTCTTCCTCTCTTCCTGTTTCTCCTGGAGAGTTATTTTCTTTATTTAAACCACGAGGATTAATTAGTCTTGTTAAGAACGGAGAGACGTCTACTTACCTTCTCATACAGAGCTCTTTCACAACTTCCTGGTAACCTGAAGAGCCATGGGGAGGGATAGGAGCATCTCCCGCCACTTTCGGTATGGTGGTATGTGTGCTTTCATCTTAGTTGTGTTCTTACCTTGTTTAGCGCTGAGTTGACATTAGGTTTGGAGCATTTGTTGATGTTGTTATTACTAAAGCTTGGACATGAGAGTTGCTGTGATTTCTCTTTTGTCAAAACCCTATTGCCTTATTGTGAAAATAGCATCAACTGAGAATTTGTGCCCTTGGCTTACAATAGTGTTTCTATTGCTTGAAGTCCATATTAAAGTTTGATATTATTCCGTAAAATAAATACAATGTTTGCAATTATTGAAACACTTGTATGTGTAATAGTTAAATCTCCCTGTACCTTATAATGTTGACCATAGATGGACCTATTTTTCACTGTGTTATGCTAAAGGTATTACAAGACATAATACGGCACCCCCATTACTTTGTCCATTTATAGTTGCTGTGTCTAAGCTCTCCTCTCTCTACCCTGGTAGGCTACAGTAACAGCCTACTACACATCGGCATGTGAATCTGATTTCTCATCTCTCCTAACTGGGTCTCAGGAGATAATTGACATGGTTTTTCCTTAATAAGTTTCCCATATTCTGGTTGTCATTGATCCCTGAGCGTGGCGCGTCCTTGATCCACCCCTCCTCCATCTCTAGTTATAGATAGACACAACCTGCTTTTAATTGAGGGCATCACAGGGGCCTACATCACTACTCAACATGGAAGAATCATTTAAGTTTCCTTTAACTTTGGTTCAGAGCAGAAAGGTCTGATGCCGTGTTGTTTCACCTATCCTAAGTTTTCAGACCCTGTGCACAAGAGGTTGGGTCTAGGTAGGACAAAGTGCTTGGGAGTGGGACCGAAAGACAAGGGAACTGGGCCTGTAGTGTGGACTGGATATAGTTTTTCTAAGTTTCTCATCCTCCATTTTGTCTTGACTGCATGGTGAGTGACCTCTCAATAGAGGCTCAATGGCCTACATAGCCTAACCCTAGCCTTTTGAAGTATATTACATGACTACCTGGAACTACAGCAGGTAGGCCTAGCACTCCAAGGCCTATTAAAATAACCTCTTTCTCTCTCTCTGCTCTTTCTCTCTCCTTTCTCTCTGCCTCTATTTCTGTCTCTATGGTAGGCTTAGTCTGTTAACTTGTTACATTCAGGTGCATGGCTCTGAAGAGTTGTGGCAGGGAGGCAAAAAGAGCTAAGTACATTTGAGTTTGGTGCTATTCATAGGTTGTGGAAATAATTAGAATAAGAATAATTATATGAGGGAAACCTGCCACTCAAACAAGAATCATTGTGCTTATTACTGTGTTATGCAACCCAGAACTAAAATCTCGCTTAATTTGGTCAGATACTGTCCACAAGATTAATGATTTCTCTGTAATGCTCAGCCTCTTTTCATATTTCAGTTCTCCTGCTGCAGTGCCAGGGCTTTCCTCTGGGTGACAGTAGAGAGTGGTCTGTACCTGTGTTGCTGGTGCAACCAGGGATGGTGACTGATGACTCCATATTGTGGATAAATATGGAAATGTACAATGGCCTCAATTTAAAAACACCAACCTGCCGATTGTTTTAAATTTATCAACTGTGGTTTCTATGAAGACCACTACAAATAGGGCCCATTTTTTGAAGAATGTTTAGCAATCCAACCCCTAATGTAGCCTACTGTATTCTCCAGGGTGGAAGGTATGGAGGAGTATGACAGGGTCAGTTTTGGTGTTGATTGTGTTACCAATAGTCTTTGATTGTATCTGTGTATCTAAATGTGTTGATACTTAAGGAGTAGTTTGGGGCACACAAACACACACACACACACACACACACACACACACACACCCCTGTCCTTAACCAGCCGCACATCTCCCAGTCACAGACAGTCTGCTATTATTTCAATACATTTCCAATTATCCTAATCAGGCTGCATTCGATGTCTGCTAAATGCCTGTGGTGCTCCACTAATGCTTTGCTCTTTTGGTGACTGGAGAGTTCTCCACAAAGGATAACATTCTGCTATAGCGAACTCGTCTGCCCCCTCGCTGGATAATCACTCTGGGACACACACGGAAACTCACACACACACACAAACAACAATGTGGAGAGGTCAAGAGGAAGGTGTTGGCTGACGGCAGTATGGCAGGGTGTGCGTAGGAGGCAAGGTGGCCAGGTCAGGACTAGCTGGCTGTCTGTCTGGATGGACGGATGGCTGCTGGCTGGGAAGCATTTAATTATAGTGTCTGTTTTGTCTGTCTGACTATTATTATTCACTAGTATTATGGTGTGATACAGTAGGTGACCATTTCTCCTTCTATAATTGACCTGCTCTAATGCTTATCAGACACCGTGTCAACCCTATTGTCTCAGCAATCAAGAAAAACTGAATACAGTATATGGTATATACAAAATACTAAAAACAGGACACGCAATAGCCAAGTCAAGCTATTCTAAATACAAGGCTCTGGCAATAAGTTTGGACTGTGTGAGTAGTTTTACTGCTATTCACTCCTGTATACTTGTGTACTGTCTACCTGTGTGAGTCATTGTCTCAGTTCAGAAATAGAGGAGTGACAGAGGGGCTCAACATTTAGAAATAGAGGATTGAAAGAGGAGCTCATTATCTAGAAATAGAGGAGTGACCGAGGGGCTCAACATTTAGAAATAGAGGAGTGACAGAGGGGCTCAACATTTAGAAATAGAGGAGTGACAGAGGGGCTCAACATTTAGAAATAGAGGAGTGACCGAGGGGCTCAACATTTAGAAATAGAGGAGTGACCGAGGGGCTCAACATTTAGAAATAGAGGAGTGACAGAGGGGCTCAACATTTAGAAATAGAGGAGTGACAGAGGGGCTCAACATTTAGAAATAGAGGAGCAACAGAGGGGCTCAACATTTAGAAATAGAGGAGTGACAGAGGGGCTCAACATTTAGAAATAGAGGAGTGACCGAGGGGCTCAACATTTAGAAATAGAGGAGTGACAGAGGGGCTCAACATTTAGAAATAGAGGAGTGACACAGCACCTTTTCGGTTACTGGCACAACACTCTTAACCACTAAGCTACCTTTAGAAATAGAGGAGTGACAGAGGGGCTCAACATTTAGAAATAGAGAAGTGACAGAGGGGCTCAACATTTCAACATCTTATATCGATCTTTAATTAAAACAGAAGTCACCATTCTATCTCCCTCCTCCACACTAGCTTCCTCCTAAGACTCTTCTCTGATTGATTCCAGAAGTAGGATTCCAAATATCTCTGTGTGTGTGTGTGTGTGTGTGTGTGCCTGTATTCATGAACGCTTGCTCATTCGCTTGTATTATATAATTTACTTCCTGATCCATTGCTTAAGAACATTCATATGCCTTTCATTGGTTGGTCTTTTGTGCCTTGATTAGAAATCTGTCCCTGAGGATGAATATTCTAGCGAACACCATCACTTCCTCCCCCTGGTGTTTCATCAAACATGGTATGGCAGCTGATTATTAAAGGATAGTGTGTAGGTGATAATATGCAAATCCCAAAATGTCTATTCCAGTGCCAAAAAGATAGTGTATGCTGCTCCTGTGCTTTATTCCTGCACCCACATTGGCAATGTTTCGACTCCAACAGCTTTGGTCTTATAAAACAAACTCACTATAGGTTTACAGAGGAGCGGTCCTACTACATATTTTCTTTGCGTCTTCATTAATGTGTTCGAAGACCATCTGCTGTATCATTTACATATTATGTAAACTGTAATGTAACAGCTTGGAAACAAAGACAAATCTTTCTTCCTCTGCTTGGTTGAATCACTTTATTCTCAACAGTGGGATGTGTGCTATAGAGGGAACTTTATACAGTTGTGTTTGAAGTTTGACAGCTGTGTAGGCATCACTCTGCTAATGTATTGTAGCTCAATTTGACAGAAACAATTCAATGCTTACGCGAGAGAAAGAGACAGAGACACAGAGAGAGAGAGAGAGAGAGAGTGCAGGGATGGAGTGGGAAATAGAGATATGGAGAGAAGGAGAGGGGGAGTTTTCTCTATAGAGGTGGTATACAGAGGGATTGTGTCTGCTCTCGTTCCCGTACAGTAGCTGTGTGCTGCTGTCAATTCTTCAGGGTGTTCACACCTGGAGCTGCTAGTGAGAGAGGCTCAGGGAAGGGTCTACGCTATCCTCATCTCCACCAACAGACACACACTCAGTAGAGCTACTGTTGACCTACCTCCTCTCTTCCCCTATCTGCTGTCTCACCTCGCTCAACTCTCTCCCAGGGGATTCTATGGATAGAGAGTTGCTGATGCTGCTGATTTCACATCAGTTATTTGGATACCAAGCTGCGTACAGAACTCATTTCATCTGATAGCCTAACTGTTTCTGTCTTGGACTAAATTTGTTTTTAAAGATCATTATATGGGATTTATAAGCTTTTCACCATCAACTGAGATGCTTTTTCTCAACCTGGATGCTATTTTTGTGTTATATCAACGCCTGCTGTACAGGATGGTGTTTACTAGCTTCTGGAGGATTTGGATTGAAACCCTCTGTGTCTGTCTCTTGAGTCTGTGTTCACCAGCCTGTTAAAGTCTGTTGTGTTCTCCAAGGAGCGCTTCCTGAACCACCACAGGGTGCCTGGTTGGTAGCCTGTGGTTCCCCAAATATGTGACTTTAGAGTGGACTGGACCCTAGGGAAAGGAGCCACTGACAGCTCACAGATCCAAATAAAAGCTTTGAAAACGAAAAACGAGCTCGGCTCTTCTTTGCTCGTCTTTAACCCCCCCCGGGGTTTTTTTGGGTTAAGGTTCGTCTGGTTTTCAAGTTTTTGGGAACCCAAGTGCTGTTCCTTTGGGTCCAAAATTTTTTTTCTTTTAGGAGGGTTTTTTTAAAAAATTTTGGGATTTTTTTTTTTTTTTTTTTTTTTTTTTTTCCCCCTTTTTTTGGGGGATTTTCGTTTTTTTTAAAAAAAACCCCCTTTTTTGGGTTTTTTTTTTTTTTTTTCCAAAACCTTTTCCTTTTTTCCCACCCTTTTCTTTTTTTGGCCCCCCCCTTTTGGGGGTGGGGGGGCCCTGCCTTTTTTTGGGGAAAAAAAATCTTTTTCCCCTTCAACCCAACTTTCTTTTACATTTCCCCCCCCTTTTTTTTGGGTTAAAATACCCCTTTTCCCCCCCTTTTCAAAAATCCTTTAAAAAATCTTCTCGGCCCCCCCCAAAATCCCTAAACCCCAAAGGGGGCCCCTTCCCCCTCCCCCCACCCGGCGAGGAACCCCGCCCCCCCCAAGCCCCGGGAAAAAAACCGGGAGGGTGACTATTTGAGAGGGGGCGGGTCCCCGGGGGAGGGGGGGAAAAAAAGGGGGGGAAGAAAAAAGGGGGAAAAGACGGGGCCCCATAAAAGTAAGTTCACCCCTTTTTTAATTCTCCAAACTTTTTCCCCTCCCCCCTTCTCTCTTCTTCTCCTTCCCTTCTTTTCTTTCCCTTTCTTCCTTCTTTTTCCCCCCCTCTTACCTCTTTTTTCCCCTTTTCTTTTGGCCCCCTTTTTTTTGTTTCTCCTCTCTACTCAACCTTTTTCTCCCCCCTCTCTTCCTCTAAAATTTTTCCTTTTCTCTATCCTTTAGGGGGGTCTACCTCCGTAACAAAAAAGGGGGTTTCTGACTTTCCCAAAATCCACCCCCTTTGCCGCTACCAAAGGAACCCCGGGAGGTCATTGGGAAAAAGGGGAAAAGGGGGAAAAGGGGAGGGAGGGGGAAAAAAAAAAAAGTTGGGGCCAAAGGGCGGGGGACCACCCGGAGCGCCTGCTGGTGTCCACCCGGGCCAGCTCCGTCCCCCGAACGCATGCCGAGGAGGGCGTGATGCCCCCCATCCGTGGCCTCAGGAAGACCACCTCACTCATCGCGGGGCACGCTGGAAACGCTGCAGCCCTTCGCAGGTAAGAGTCTTTAGCCTGATTCACACTTCAGGGAATATTGCATGGTTACATAAACTATGGTGGATGCGTAACCAGGCCAGTGCAGTAACAGCTTGGCTTGGCTTGGTATTGCCCTATAGTGTGAATTAGGCTCTAATTGGCCAGTCGGTCAATGATAGTACAGAGTTTTAGTTGACCACCCTGGCCTTAGCCAATGATAGTACAAAGTCTTAGTTGACTATGCTGATAAGCCCACGCTTGCTGATGATTGATATGTTGGATCAGGTATTATAGAATGAAGTCTGTCAGTTAGTCATCTGGAAAAGTGGCATAGACAAGACTCTCTGTGTTACAGTGAGGGAAAAAAGTATTTGATCCCCTGCTGATTTTGTATGTTTGCCCACTGACAAAGAAATGATCAGTCTATAATTTTAGTGGTAGGTTTATTTGAACAGTGAGAGACAGAATAACAACAAAGAAATCCAGAAAAAAGCATGTCAAAAGTGTTAAAAATTTATTTGCATTTTATTGAGGTAAATAAGTATTTGACCCCCTCTCAATCAGAAAGATTTCTGGCTCCCAGGTGTCTTTTATACAGGTAACGAGCTGAGATTAGTAGCACACTCTTAAAGGGAGTGCTCCTAATCTCAGCTTGTTACCTGTATAAAATACACCTGTCCACAGAAGCAATCAATCAATCAGATTCCAAACTCTCCACCATGGCCAAGACCAAAGAGCTCTCCAAGGATGTCAGGGACAAGATTGTAGACCTACACAAGGCTGGAATGGGCTACAAGACTATCGCCAAGCAGCTTGGTGAGAAGGTGACAACAGTTGGTGCGATTATTCGCAAATGGAAGAAACACAAAAGAACTGTAAATCTCCCTCGGCCTGGGGCTCCATGCAAGATCTCACCTCGTGGAGTTGCAATGATCATGAGAACGGTGAGGAATCAGCCCAGAACTACACGGGAGGATCTTGTCAATGATCTCAAGGCAGCTGGGACCATAGTCACCAAGAAAACAATTGGTAACACACTACGCCGTGAAGGACTGAAATCCTGCAGCGCCCGCAATGTCCCCCTGCTCAAGAAAGCACATATACAGGCCAGTCTGAAGTTGAACATCTGAATGATTCAGAGGAGAACTGGGTGAAAGTGTTGTGGTCAGATGAGACCAAAATGGAGCTCTTTGGCATCAACTCAACTCGCTGTGTTTGGAGGAGGAGGAATGCTGCCTATGACCCCAAGAACACCATCCCCACCGTCAAACATGGAGGTGGAAACATTATGCTTTGGGGGTGTTTTTCTGCTAAGGGGACAGGACAACTTCACCGCATCAAAGGGACGATGGACGGGGCCATGTACCGTCAAATCTTGGGTGAGAACCTCCTTCCCTCAGCCAGGGCATTGAAAATGGGTCGTAGATGGCTATTCCAGCATGACAATGACCCAAAACACACAGCCAAGGCAACAAAGGAGTGGCTCAAGAAGAAGCACATTAAGGTCCTGGAGTGGCCTAGCCAGTCTCCAGACCTTAATCCCATAGAAAATCTGTGGAGGGAGCTGAATGTTCGAGTTGCCAAACATCAGCCTCGAAACCTTAATGACTTGGAGAAGATCTGCAAAGAGGAGTGGGACAAAATCCCTCCTGAGATGTGTGCAAACCTGGTGGCCAACTACAAGAAACGTCTGACCTCTGTGATTGCCAACAAGGGTTTTGCCACCAAGTACTAAGTCATGTTTTGCAGAGGGGTCAAATACTTATTTCCCTCATTAAAATGCAAATCAATTTATAACATTTTTGACATGCGTTTTTCTGGATTTTGTTGTTGTTATTCTGTCTCTCACTGTTCAAATAAACCTACCATTAAAATTATAGACTGATCATGTCTTTGTCAGTGGGCAAACGTACAAAATCAGCAGGGGATCAAATACTTTTTTCCCTCACTGTATAATGTTTTAGCCTATATACTGGTGCTGTATGTTGATTCAATGTGTTTGAAGCAATACATCATATAAATGTTATCCTCAAGGCATGTCATTTATAGCCATTAATGAAACTGCCCATCATTCTCCTCTCCAGTCCTGTCAATTACTTCATTAGCTAACATTTACAGCTAAATGTATCACATTTGACAGAGATTACTATACTAGCATGGCCTGTGTGTAGGAGTGTGTTCAAATAGACACATCACTGTCAGTCTACAGAAAACAACACACTCTATGTCTATTTGAAGCCTTGTTTTGACTGTACCTGCCCTTACAGAAAAACCACATGATTTCACATGTGAAATTTCACATGAAATCATGTAGTAAAACAGTGTTGTATTAAAACGTGTTTTTGGAACACTTTACATGTTTTCACGTGTAGTTTCATGTTATCACGTTGCTTTACGTGTTATCACATGAAAACATGTGTTTTTGGAACACTTCACGTGTTCACGTGAAATTGATGTGGTTTGTCCCATAAGGGTGCATACTGTCACGATCGTCGTAGGAATGAGTAGACCAAGGCGCAGCGTGTGAAACAAACATGACTTTAATTAGTTAAAGTATACCAAACAAAACACGACTCGTGAAGTCCACGGTAAACAAATACCGACACGGAACAAAAACCCACAAACACAAAGTGAAACACAGACAGTTAAATATGGCTCCCAATCAGAGACAACCAGCCGACAGCTGACACTCGTTGCCTCTGATTGGGAGTCACACAGGCAAACATAGAAACAGACAACCTAGAACCCCCAACATAGACATATCACACATAGAATAAACACACCCCTGGCTCAACAAATAGAGTCCCAGAGCCAGGGTGTGACAGTACCCCCCCCCTAAAGGCGCGGACTGCGACCGCGCCTAAATACGAGCAAAAACAGGGGAGGGCTGGGTGGGCATTCCTCCTCGGCGGCGGCTCCGGCTCCGGTCTTGCCCACCACCCTCCAACAAACCCCCCATAGCGCCCCTGGTCCGGTCTGGCCCCGCTGGCTGGAGCTGGACTGGACGTAGCAGGAGCGGTAGGCTTCAGCTCCTTAGTGGAGCAGTTGAGCGGTACCTGAATTGGCACCGATGACCCAGGCACGGGTTGTGCCGGACTGACGACTCGCACCCCTGGCTTGGTGCGAGTGGCAGGAACGGGCCGGGCCGGCGACGCGCACCATAGACTTGGTGCGAGTGGCAGGAACAGGCCGGACCGGGCTGGCGACGCGCACCGTAGACTTGGTGCGTGGAGCAGGGACAGGCCGGGCCGGGCTGGCGACGCACCCCGTAGGCTTGGTGCGTGGAGCAGGGACAGGCTGGGCTGGGCTGGCGACGCACACCGTAGGCTCGGTGCGTGGAGCAGGAACAGGCCGGGCTGGGCTGGCGACGCACACCGTAGGCTTGGTGCGTGGAGCAGCAACTGGCCGGACTGGGCTGGCGACGCACACCGTAGGCTTGGTGCGTGGAGCAGGGACAGGCCGGGCTGGGCTGGCGACGCACACCGTAGGCTTGGTGCGTGGAGCAGGGACAGGCCGGGCCGGGCTGGCGACGCACACCGTAGGCTTGGTGCGTGGAGCAAGGACAGGCCGGGCTGGGCTGTCGACGCACACCGTAGGCTTGGTGCGTGGAGCAGGGACAGGCCGGACTGGGCTGGCAACGCACACCGTAGGCTTGGTGCGTGGAGCAGGGACAGGCCGGACTGGGCTATGGAGACGGATAGGAGACCTGGAGTGAAGAGCTGCCACAACCCGTCCTGGCTGAATGCCTACCTTCACACACTCTGTGTGAGGCATCAGCACAGGACGTACAGGGCTGTGTACCCGTACTGGCATAACAGCACGTGACACTGGCGCAGGATATCCGGGACCGAGGAGAGGCACTGGAGGCCACGAGCGCTGAGCCGGCACACTCCGTCCTGGCTGCATGCCCACCTTCGCACAACACGTGCGGGGTGCTCGCACAGGACGTACCGGACTATGCCGGACCACTCGTGGCACAGTGCGCAGCTCCGCATACCGCGGAACCTGCCCAGTCTCATGCTGCCATGCCTGAGTACGGGGAGTTGGCTCTGCTCTCCATCCAGGCTCCGCCAACCTGTCTTCTGGCCCCCAAAACCCGGTGGCCTCCTCTCCTAATCTCCCAATTCGCCCTGTGGCAGCCTCCTGCTGCCCAGTCGCCCATGCCGTGTGCCCCCCCCCCTAAAAAATTATTGGGGGTGCCTCTCGCCTGTCCGACCACGGCCCGGTTGACGCCGCTTCTCCACTCCTGCCTGGATCTCCCCCTTCATCGCCTTCCGGTACCGGACGGCCTCCTCCTTCGTAATCTGCCCCCAGCCGAGGAGGACATCCACCAGCGTTACCTCCTGTGTGTGTTCCTGGACACGCTGCTTGGTCCTGGTTTGGTGGGTTTTTCTGTCACGATCGTCGTAGGAGTGAGTAGACCAAGGTGCAGCGTGTGAAACAAACATGACTTTAATTAGTTAAAGTATACCAAACAAAACACGACTCGTGAAGTCCACGGTAAACAAATACCGACACGGAACAAAAACCCACAAACACAAAGTGAAACACAGACAGTTAAATATGGCTCCCAATCAGAGACAACCAGCCGACAGCTGACACTCGTTGCCTCTGATTGGGAGTCACACAGGCAAACATAGAAACAGACAACCTAGAACCCCCAACATAGACATATCACACATAGAATAAACACACCCTGGCTCAACAAATAGAGTCCCAGAGCCAGGGTGTGACACATACATGATAGAAAGTTCAAGATAGTGTCACTGTTTTAGGAATAGAAAGCACCTTTATGATGATTCCTTGCAACTTGATGCTGGCTTCCTGCTCTGACAGTACAACACTGAATATTAATGCTCTAGAGTAGACTATAAATACTCAGAGAGAAAACAGACTAAATAATCTAAATAATACCACAGAAGTGCAAAGAGAGAATCACAAGGAATGCCCACCTTTTTCTGTGGCCCTAACTTAGCCAAACAAATAATGAAGCAACATTGTCCCTCGGGGATGGAGTGTCTATGTTTAAGTGAATGCTGGGTGGGCTGTTCAGTCTGGCTGTGGATATAAAGTAACTTGTGTACAAGACTCTGAATGTGTACCAAATGGTACCCTATTCCCTATAAAGTGCACTACTTTTGAGTATAGCCATATGGACCCTGGTCAAAAGTAGTGTAATAAATAGGGGATAGGGTGCCATTTGGGACAGTCTCTCAAAGTGTTCCTCGTATATGAATCCAATCAGTGAAGTGATATATGTATTTCAGTACAGCAGGTAGAGTAGTTGTAACCTCATTATTACAGTACTTTCCAACTGCATGTTTTTATTTGTTTACACCTGAAATGGAGAGTGTATACTGCAGACCCTCCATAGACTCTAATAGGTTTTAAATGAGACAATTCTCAGTTGGTAGAGCATGGCGCTTGCAACGCCAGGGTTGTGGGTTCATTTCCCACGGGGGGCCAGTATGAAAAATGTATGCACACACTAACTGTAAGTCGCTCTGGATAAGAGCGTCTGCTAAATGACTAAAATGTAAATGTAAATTCAACATCATTTTTAGATTACACACTAATCCCAAGGATTACCCAGAGGAGATTATATGGTAACAAGCCATATATTGAGGCAGGGTGGGGGTGCAGTTTGGGGGGCACAATGAAACATGGCTACAGCTGTCCCTTTTGAATCACTTTCACATGTTCTGTTTCCATGTAATTTCACCAGTCTGTTCCCTAAAGCAGGAGCCACCTTACCAAGGGTTAGGGTGAGTGAGCCACCTTACCAAGGGTTAGGGTTAGTGAGCCACCTTACCAAGGCCATATCCATTCATGTGTGTTGTTTCTATCTGTACTGCAGGACGGTGAGAGTCTGCAAAGGGAACCTGAGTTTTGGATTCACCCTCAGGGGCCATGCACCTGTATGGATCGACTCAGTCATCCCAGGTAGGTTGCTTACAGCAGTGTGTGTGTGTGTGTGTTTGTGCAGACAGGCATGCACACATGCGCACAGACACATGGATACACACACACAACACACCATGTGGGCAAGTGTCAAATGCACAGACTGGTGCCAATCAAGGCATATTTATTGTCAACCTGTATGTCGTGTTGCCACAGTGTTCACACCAGCTATGTGGAGGGACTTATGGAGGGTACAGAGGGGAACAGATCGGAGAATAGTAGGCTGAGAGAGGAGAGAGAGAGAGAGAGAGAGAGAGAGAGAGAGAGAAGAGAGAGAGAGCGAGAGAGAGAGAGAGAGAGAAAGAGAGAGAGGATAGAGAGGAGAGAGAGAGAGAGAGACAGAGAGCTGAGATATATCTCTCTCTCTCTCTCTCTCTCTCTCTCTCTCTCTCTCTCTCTCTCTCTCTCTCTCTCTCTCTCTCTCTCCAGGGAGTCCAGCAGATAAGGCGGGGCTCAAACCTGGAGACCGTATCCTGTTCCTCAATGGACTTGACATGAGGTTAGACAGCATTCGAAATGAGGCTTAGTCGATTTATATAGAAACATATGATTTACTGGTTCATTGACGTTTGTTTGTATGTTGTCAAGCCAACCTCCTCTTGTTGTATTTACTTCAGGCTACTGCTTTTGTTTCTTGACCTCAGGTAGCTAACTGTAAGCTTTGTATGGATTTGGAAACCAGTGTTCATATCTCACACTCTTGTAGTGACAGAATAATACAACTTTTTTTAAATAGATGAAAGAACAAGCATTACCTGACAGCTGTGTTGTATTGAATTGGTTAATTACTTAGAGTGTGGATAAACAGCAGAGTAGTTTCCTCTGCAGTGGTAGTTTGTGGTAGGGATCAGAGCCTTAGATACTGTAGTATAGAGACTTCAATATAAGGTTTTGGTTCCGGCCTTTTCAGTTGTTTCCATTAGAATGTGCTACTTTATGGGGTATTGGGCGGCGCATAATTGGCCCTGCGTCGTCCAGGGTAGGGGAGGGAATGGCCGGCAGGTATGTAGCTCAGTTGGTAGAGCATGGCGTTTGCAACGCCAGGGTTGTGGGTTCAATTCCGACGGGGGGCCAGTATGAAAAATAAAATAATGTATGCACTCACTAACTGTAAGTCGCTCTGGATAAGAGCATCTGCTAAATGACTAAAATATAAATATATGTATGGTTCCAAAAGGGTTATTTGGCTGTCCCCATAGGAGAACCCTTTTTGGTTCTAGGTAGAACTATTTTGGGTTCAATATAGAACCTCTGTTTAAAGGATTCTACATGGAACTCAAAAGGGTTCTACCTGGGACCAAAAAGGGTTATTCAAAGGGTTCTCCTATTGGGACAGCCGAATAACCATTTTAGGTTCTAGATAGCACCTTTTTTTTCTAAGAGTGTAGTGGTGATCATGGTAGAGAGTCTGTAGTATATTGACACTATCTCTGTATCTCAATATGTGTCTGAAGGAGTTGTTCCCATGAGAAGGTCGTCTCCATGCTGCAGGGCAGCGGTGCCATGCCCACCCTGGTCGTGGAGGAAGGCCCCCCCACCTTCACGCTGGCCGAGCCCGAGCAGCCAGGAGGGCCAGGGAGGGCGTCCCCGGGTGGAGGCGTCCCCCGCTCCCCAGTGCTCAACTCCCTGCAGTGGGTGGCTGAGATCCTGCCTTCCTCTATCAGGGTCCAGGGGCGCACCTTCGGACAGCAGCTGGAGCACCTGCTCACTATCCAGGAGAGATACACCATCTGCAAAGCCCTGGAGAACTTCTTCCAGCATAGGTGAGAGGGAGGGAGGGAGGGAAGGATAGGGAGGGAGGGAGAGGGGGAGGGGAGAGACAGTGAGAGAAATCAGAGAAAGCTACAAATATGTCGAGAGAGAGTGAAAGAGAGATTGAAAGAGAGAGTGAAAGAGTGAGTGGAAGAGAGATTGAAAGAGAGTGAAAGAGAGAGTGAAAGAGAGATTGAAAGAGTGAGTGAAAGAGAGATTGCAAGCGAGTTTGAAAGAGAGAGTGAAAGAGGAGTGAAAGAGAGAGTGGGTGTGAAAGAAGAGATAACCTACTGGTTTGAGAGACCATGGTACAGAAACAGGACCTTCAGCCCTACAATTACAGTGGCTTGCGAAAGTATTCACCCCCCTTGGCATTTTTCCTATTTTGTTGCCTTATCCTGGAATTAAAATGGATTTTTTGGGGGGTTTGTATCATTTGATATACACAACATGCCTACCACTTTGAAGATGCAAAATAAAAAAAATGTGTGAAACAAACAAGAAATAAGACAAAAAAACAGAAAACTTGAGCGTGCATAACTATTCACCCCCCCAAAATCAATGCTTTGTAGAGCCACCTTTTGCAGCAATTACAGCTGCAAGTCTCTTGGGGTATGTCTCTATAAGCTTGGCACATCTAGCCACTGGGATTTTTGCCCATTCTTCAAGGCAAAACTGCTCCAGCTCCTTCAAGTTGGAAGGGTTTCTCTGGTGTACAGCAATCTTTAAGTCATACCAAATATTCTCAATTGGATTGAGGTCTGGGCTTTGACTAGGCCATTCCAAGACATTTAAATGTTTCCCCTTAAACCACTCAAGTGTTGCTTTAGCAGTATGCTTAGGGTCATTGTTCTGCTGGAAGGTGAACCTCCGTCCCAGTCTCAAATCTCTGGAAGACTGAAACAGGTTTCCCTCAAGAATTTCCTTGTATTTATCGCCATCCATCATTCCTTCAATTCTGACCAGTTTCCCAGTCCCTGCCGATGAAAAACATCCCCACAGCATGATGCTGCCACCACCATGCTTCACTGTGGGGATGGTGTTCTCGAGGTGATGAGAGTTGTTGGGTTTGCGCCAGACATAGCGTTTTCCTTGATGGCCAAAAAGCTAAATTTTAGTCTCATCTGACCAGAGTACCTTCTATGTTTGGGGAGTCTCCCACATGCCTTTTGGCAAACACCAAACTTGTTTGCTTATTTTATTCTTCAAGCAATGGCTTTTTTCTGGCCACTCTTCCGTAAAGCCCAGCTCAAAGTTTCTGATATTTTTTCATAACCCAACCCTGATCTGTAATTCTCCACAACTTTGTCCCTGACCTGTTTGGAGAGCTCCTTGGTCTTCATGGTGCCGCTTGCTTGGTGGTGCCCCGTGCTTAGTGGTGTTGCAGACTCTGGGGCCTTTCAGAACAGGTGTATATATACTGAGATCATGAGACAGATCATGTGACACTTAGATTGCACACAGGTGGACTTTATTTAACTAATTATGTGACTTCTGAAGGTAATTGGTTGCACCAGATCTTATTTAGGGACTTCATAGCAAAGGGGGTGAATATATATGCATGCGCCACTTTTCCGTTATTTATTTTTTAGAATTCTTTAAAACAAGGTATTTGTTTCATTTCACTTGACCAATTTGGACTATTTTGTGTATGTCCATTACATGAAATCCAAATAAAATGTGATTTAAATTATAGGTTGTAATGCAACAAAATAGGAAAAACGCCAAGGGGGATGAATACTTTTGCAAGACACTGTACACTGTCTAGAATATGTTACCATCATTTTCTCTTCATGCAAGGTTCTGTAAGACCACTGTATTAGCGTGACCAATGATTAGACAGCCAGATGACCCTAACCCCGCCAAGCCCCTCCCCCCTCCTCTCTGTTTCCATGGCGACAGGAATGTTGACACTCTGATCGTGGACGTTTTCCCGGTGTTGGACACGCCAGCCAAGCAGGTGATCTGGCGTTTTGTCTACCAGCTTCTGACCTACGAAGAGCAGGAGCACTGCCAGAGCAAGATATCACGTTTCCTCGGTTACAAGACTGCAGGTGGGTTCTGGGAGGTGTGTGTATGTGTTTGCTTATGCAAGTATATGTGATATCTGCGTGTACATTTGTGATTTTTGGGGGTGTATGTGTAGATATGAAAGAGAACGTCAATCTGTGATTGTGTCTGTGTGTGTGTGTGTGTACACTGACATACACACACTGTGTGTATTCTAGCGCCAGCCCCCCCACCTGAGCCAGAGCCCGCCCCCGAGCCCCATCGCCGTAGCAGCTCCATGAAAGTGACAGGAACCGCCTACAGGGCCAGCATGCGTGGGCGGAGCTCTGACGACCTCGTCATCGGCACTCACCTGGGGATGGGTACTTGCGTTTGTCTTTGTCCTTCATCTTCATCACCAGTAAAAGTAGCACCATCATTACTATCAGTGGCTATATCATCGTCATCATCATCATTATTATCACCATCATCATCAGTATTGTCATAAGTAGCATGAAATAAATATTTCTGACACTAGGTGGAGCTTTTGCTTACACCTACCCAGTCAAGTGAATGGGTATCAAGAAAGACGTATTTTTTGGAATGCCTTGAAACCTAATGCAGTATGTTTCCTGTAGGGATCCGTACTGATCCAGGGGAGATGGGGATGAGGCTGGCTCCAGGGGAGAGACAGTCAGGAGACGGGACGTCCCTCCCAGAGACCCCCAACAACCTCACCAACGTGGGTACCCAAGTGAGACTGAGAGAAGTGGTCCTGTGTGGCTCGGTCGGTAGAGCATGGCGCTTGCAACGCCAAGCGTCGTGGGTTCGATTCCCGCTGAGGCCACCCATATGTAAAATTAGTGCCCCCAGCTTTGGATAAAAATGTCTGCTAAATGGGATATATTAGAATAAGCATGACTAAAACAGTGGTCACCAACCCTAGTCATGGAGAGCTACCATGTCTGCAGCTTTTTGCTCCAGCCCTCACTATAAAACACACTGGATTAAATTACTCAAGGACCCAGTGAGTGGCTCATTAATTCAAGCAGGTGTGTCAGTGTTAGGCTGGAACAAAAGCCTGTACACTCATTGGCTCTTGGGAACTAGGACTAGTGACCACTGATTTAGATTGTTTCCTCTTTAGGGGCTTATCTTCTGGCTTTGATCTCTTCTATCTGAGTTGTTATGAAAGGGAATTTATTCTCTCTGTCTAGCTGTCTGCAGTGTATGCTGAGCTGGAGAACGTGTACTCAGGGAAGAGGTCCAAGTCTCTGAAGGCTCGCGCTCCTCCTCCTGCAGACAGTCTGGTAGAGCTGGAAGTCCTCGAACACGCAGGCTCTCCGTCCATGCACGCTAACATAGGTAGTTACTCCAACCGGTAACGCTTTACTTGAAGTGTTGTTCATCATGACGCGTCCAGGAAATCTGGTTAAAATAACTTAATTACAAGCAGGTTGAAATCTGAATTGTAGCTTGCCTGACATAGATGTATGTCTTCTAGTTTGAGTTGAGTCCACCTCTCTCTCTGTTAGTCAGTGGAGTGTGAATATGTTCACAAGCACAGGTAGCTACTGGGTATGAAAACATCTAACCAAATAGCTATAACAGCAGAAATTAATAGACCATGTATTGTGCATTGACATGATCTACAACCCTTGGTCAACATAATAGTTGATCAATGCAATGTTAGATGTTCTTCTCTATAGGAGCAGTGATGTCAATGTTCCTCTCCACAGGTAGCCGTAAGGGCCCCCCACCACCTCCCTCCGCCTGGCAGGAGCCCCTCCCTAGCCCCCCTGCCCCGGTCCAGTTCTACCCCCCAGGTCTCACCTCCCAGACCAGTGCCGAGTCCAACCCCTACATCAGCCTGGACAGCCCCCCTCCCTCGCCCCCCGACTACCCCGCCAGCCCACCCTCCCACGCCCGTCTCAATAAGAGGCGCTACACGTTCTCTCATCCGCCGCGCTCCTCCGATACAGACCGTTTCCTGGACGCGCTGAGCGAGCAGCTGGGTCAGAGGGTTGCCATCGTCGACGACTTCCTGTCACCCGAGAACGACTACGAGGAGGTAGGGTCGTAAAGATGCACATCTGTATAGAGCATTAGATGGTTGATTATGATATGTTTGACAAAGACAGTAAGCTGCTTGTCTTGCATGACTTTAGTGATTATTGTATATATATTCAGACCCCTTGACTTATTCCACATTGTGTGTAGATGAGGAAAACATTTATTTAATCAATTTTAGAATAAGGCTGTAACGTAACCAAATGTGGAAAAAGGGAAAGGGTCTGAATACTTTCCGAATGCACTGTATATATATTAAAAACAAAAAAACTATATTTTAAGTGAGAATTAGGCATTGGTCTGAAGCCGAAAAAGAAAGGAAATTCACAAGCACAGCAATGCCTACTCCACCCATGCTCTACCAAGGTTTTCCAGCACACAGCTTTGACCTACTAAAACAATGTGTATGCAGGTTGCTTAGGATTCAAACCTTCTCAAACAGCCTAATTCATACTCTTAGAGGAGGTGCTCCCACAATAATGTGATTTGTACTGCATACAGTATTGGATTCTTCACACACCACACTAATCCCACTCCACTACCTTTCCAAGGTCCAAAAGTATTGGGAGAGTGACACATTTTTTGTTGTTTTGGCACTTTGGATTTGAAATGATACAGTGACTGTGAGTTTAAAGTGCAGACTGTCAGCTCTATTGTGAGGGTATTTTCATACATATCGAACCGTTACAGCACTTTTTGTACATAGTCCCACCATTTTAGGGGCCTAAAAATATTAGGACAAATTCACTTATATTTGTATTAAAGTAGTCAAAAGTTAAGTATTTGGTCCCATATTCATAGCACACAATGAATACATTAAGCTTGTGACTCTACAAATTTGTTGGATACATTTGCTGTTTGTTCTGGTTGTGTTTCAGATTATTTTGTGCCCAATAGAAATGAATGGTAAATAATGTATTGTGTCATTTTGAAGTTACTTTTATTGTTAATAAGAATATAATATGTTTCTAAACACTTCTACATTAATGTGGATGCTACCATGATTATGGATAGTGCTAAATGAATCATGAATAATGATGAGTGAGAAAGACGCAGAAATATCATACCCCCAAGAATGCCAAGAGTGCAAAGCTGTCATCAAGGCAAAGGGTGGCTATTTGAAGAATCTCAAATATAAAATATATTTTGATTTGTTGAACACTTTTTTGGTTACTACATGATTCCATATGTGTTATTTCATAGTTTTGATGTCTTCACTATTATTCTACAATGTAAAAAATTGTAAAAATAAAGAAAAACCCTTGAATGAGTAGGTGTGTCCAAACTTTTGACTGGTAGTGTGTGTGTGTGTGTGTGTGTGTGTATGTATGTATATATATATATATATATATATATATATATATATATATATATATATATATATATATATATATATATATATAACTGGACAACAAATTATGTGAGACAAAACACATACATTTTTTAAACATAATTTGAAAGGCAAATGATATTTTTGAAAGATACCTTTTGAGTGTGGAAATGTTTGTATAATTTTGTATAATCACCTTCTGGTGTAAAAACCATGGAAATAGACCAACATAGATACTGTAGTACAGGGTTCTTCAATTCCGGTCCTGGAGGGCCGAAACACCTCTGTTTTTCATCCTCTCCTTCTAATCAGGGGCTAATTCAGACCTGGGACACCAGGTGAGTGCAATTAACTACCAGGTAGAAATAAAAAACAGAAGTGTTTCGGCCCTCCAGGACCGGAATTGAAGAACCCTGCTGTAGTAGGTAAAAGCTGTGTGCTGGAAAACCTTGGTAGAGCATGGGTGGAGTAGGCATTGTGGTGCTCGTGCATTTCTTTTCTTTTTTCGGCTTCAGACCAATGCCTACTTCTCACATAAAACTTAGTTTTTTGTTTTTTATATATATATAATTTGTGTATTTCTATTAGGAAATTCTACCGTAAAGCACCTCAGACTATAAATTACACTGGAGCAATGGCCCGAGCCTTAATGAATCTATGTGATTGGTGGTAATGCCAGGATGTTGTCCAGATGAGCTTCCCAGATGAGGAGGATGAGGATGACGAGGAGGTGGGGGTGGATGATGAAGATGGAGACGGGGGTTTCATAATACCCCCTGAGCTGAGCAGCCCCAGCGAGTACCAGGGCAGCAGCGGAGAGGACGCCTCCTCCCTCACCTACTCCTCCTCCTCAGAACACATCCCTCCTCCCCCCATGACTCCCCCGCCACCTCCACCCATCCAATTCAATGATCCTCCTCTACCCCCAAGCTACACCGCCACCCCTGAACAGTCTCCCAGAATACAACTACCTTTCCGCCGCCACCCCTGGGCCGCCTCCACCCCCTCCTCCTCGCTCCAACCCGCCGCCCAAACGCCAGTCCATTCATAAGGTGCTTCCTACCCGGGAGGACCTTCTAGCCCACGCTGCAATACAGGAACAAAAAGCGTACCAGGAGAAACAAGCATTACAGGAGCAACAAGCTTACCAGGACCAACAAGCGTTTCAGGAACAACAAGCTTACCAGGACCAACAAGCGTACCAAGAGCGACAAGTGTACCAGGAACAACAAGCAATCCAGGAGCAACGAGCATTCCAGAAGCAACAAGCATTTCAGGAACAAAAAGCTTACCAGGAGCAACAAGCACATCAAGCGCAACAGAAGCGACAAGCTTACCAGGAACAACAAGCATTCCAGGAGCAACAAGCTTACCAGGAGCAACAAGCTTACCAGGAGCAACAAGCACATCAAGAACAACAAGCATACCAGGAGCAACAAGCGTACCAGGAGCAACAAGCGTACCAGGAGCAACAAGCGTACCAGGAGCAAAATATTTACCAGGGGCACCAGTCACTGCCTGCCCAGTCCTCGCACAAAGCACACACCCTGCAGCAGCTTCACCAGTCCCTGCCCCCCCTCCCCTCTCCAGAGGCAGCCCACACCCATCCAGACCATCCAAACCACCCAGACCCCTCACTCTACCAGATGCACCAAGCTCAACAACAGACTCGTCGTCAAAGCCGTCATCAGACTCACTCAGCCACATCACCTCACAACCCCCTACCCGTTCCCCTGTCCATCCAGATCAACAGAGTCAGTACTCGGAGGCAATCTATCAGAGTCTTCATACACAGTCACATCACTCATCTATGGAGCTCCTTCACCAAGCTCATCAGATCCAGCAGCACCACTCCTCCATGGAGCTCCTTCATCAAGCTCATCAGGTCCAGCAGCACCACTCCTCCATGGAGCTCATTCACCAAGCTCAGGAAGTCCAGCAGCACCACTCCTCCATGGAGCTCCTTCAACAAGCTCATCGGGTCCAGCAGCACCACTCATCCACGGAGCTTCTTCACCAACCTCACCACTCTTCCACAGAGCTCCTTCACCAAGCTCATCAGATCCAGCAGCACCACTCATCCACGGAGCTCCTTCACCAAGCTCATCAGATCCACCAAGATCAGCCTGCTTCACTAACAGTACACCTGGATCAGGAGATCCACCAGTCTCTTCAGACTCATCAGAGCCATCAGACTCACCCATCTTCCCAGGCCAGCCACCAGGGTCAGCAGACTCATCAAACTCGTCAATCTCTCAAGTCTCATCGCACTCACCAGCCATCTCCCCAGCGTCCCCACTCCGTCCAGCAGACTTACCACCACACTCCCCAGATCCAGCACATCCACCACCAGGTCCCTCCCCAGCCCACTCAGCCAGAGCTCCACCAGATCCACCTCATCCATCAGCCCACCCAGCAGCGCCACCACCCCCAGCCCACCCTGTCCACCTTCCAGCCCCTTCCACCCCACCAGTCCCACCCTGTCCACCTTCCAGCCTCTGCCCCAACATCAACCCCACCAAACCCACCAGGTCCACCCCTCCAACCAGGGTCGTCCTCAGTCCCAGCCCTCTCAGCGGCTACTCAGTCAATCCCAGTCTCACCACCACTCCCACCACCAACCCCAACCTCAGCCCAAGCAGCATTCCCAGTCCCAGAATAACTTGGACCAGTTGGGGAAACAGGAGCCCCCTCCTCCTCCGCCCCTGCCCCCTCCCGGAACCCCACCTCCGCTGCCTCGCCCCGGCCTTCCGAGGATGGACTCCAACCATATGAGTGTAAAGAGGCTGCGCTGGGAACAGGTGGAGAACTCTGAGGGCACCATCTGGGGACAGGTGAGTTAGTCACAAATTTGATAGGTGAGTTAGTCAGCATTGAGACAGGTAAGTTGGTCAGGATTGGGACAGGTAATGGGTTTGGACAAGTGTGTTAGTCAGGGTTGGGAAAGGTGAACTATGTTAGGTGAGGTTGGTTGGGGACAGATAAGTTAGTCAGGATTGGGACAGGATTGGGACAGGTTAGTCAGCTACAGTTTGGACGGGAGTAAGTCAGGGTTTGGACAGGTGAGTTAGTCAGCATTGAGATAGGTGAGATAGTCAGGGTTGGCAACAGGTGAGTTTAGTCAAGGTTGTGAAAGGTGAACTTTGTTAGGTGAGGTTGGATGGGGACAGGTAAGTTAGTCAGGATTGGGACAGGTATGTCAGCCACAGTTTGGACGGGAGTTAGTCAGGGTTTGGACAGGTGAGTTAGTCAGCGTTGGGACAGGTGAGTTAGTCAGGGTTGGAACAGGTGGTTAGTCAAGGTTGGGACAGGTAGGTTAGTCAGGGTTAGGGACAGGTGAGCTAGCCAAGGTTGGAACAGGTGAGTTAGTCAGGGTTGGGTCAGGTTTTTAGATTTACAACAGTTACATTATTTTTTTATTTTTTACAGCAGTCAATTTCTGAAATGACAAGCATTAGCTTGAACTTAATGAGTAGGTGGTGCATAATGTACATAATGCCTGTTTTTAATCTGTGTGTTGCAGTTGGGAGAGGATTCTGATTATGACAAACTGAATGACATGGTGAAGTATCTGGATCTAGAACTGCACTTTGGGACACAAAAGAACCCCAGTGAGTATAATGTGCCCACGTGTGTATGTGGGTGTTTGTGTGTATGCACGCATAATGCATATGTTAGTGTGCATACAGTATGCTTGCACATACTGTACGTGTGTAAGTCTCTTCTGCAAAACCATTCACACACCACCACCAATGAGTCCGTTCCTGCATAGTGTGTCTAATATGAATACTTCTTCATCTTGAGCAATGTGTGTGAATCCCACCATGGTTTTGAATTGCTTTTGATCAGTGGTCCCTCTGACGAATGACAGCAGCATTACCGCCATAGGCACTTCACTGACCCATTTAAGTCTGATACTTGAAATTATGTATTTAGAAATACATTGAAAATCCTGATTTGGACATTTTCTGCTCCTTAGCAGAGTCTCTTTCTCCCTTGATCTCTGTCTTCACAGTCTTCCTTTCTGCCTCTCTTCTCATGATTCTCTGTTTCCCTCTCTCCCTCCACCAGTAGACCATGTGCACTAACATGTTCTGTGTCAGTTTCTCTTCCAGACCCAGCCCCTCAGTCGGAGACCTTCAAGAAGAAAGACATAGTGGAGATTCTGTCCCATAAGAAGGCCTACAACGCATGTAAGTATGAGCGTGGAGAACACAAGGAGGGTGCTACATTGTTCCAGGCTGTGTTACACTGCACTTCAGATCTTATATTATTGTTCTAATCTAGTCTGTGTTGACTGAAACCATGAGACTGTGTCACACTTTTACTGTGGCATCTGACCTTTGACCCTTTAATCTCTTGACCCATGACCCCCAGCCATCCTGATCGCCCACCTGAAGCTGTCCCCAGGTGAACTGCGCCAGGTGCTGATGACCATGGCCACAGAGCGGCTGGAGCCGGCCCACATCAAGCAGTTGCTGCTATACGCCCCGACGCGGAGGAGGTCAAGCAGTATGAACAGTACAGCGAGGACCCGGCCAAGCTCAGCGAGCCTGACCAGTTTGTACTACAGGTACTGGGCCTAGACTGCAGTGGAGATGCTCAGCAGGTTTAGGGGATCGTATTGGATGTATTTGTGTTGTTTTGTTGTGGTGTACTGTGGGTGAAAGTAGTAGTAGTAGTAGTAGAAATAGTAGTAGAAAAAGGATATAGTAGTAGCACATAGTGTAGTAGTAGAATATAGTAATAGTAAGTAGTAGTAGTAGTATAGTAGTAGTAGTATAGTAGTATATAAGTAGTAGTAGCAGTAGTAGTGTAGAATAGTATCACAGCAAATATGTAGTAGTAGCAACATATAGAGCATATCGTAGTAGTGCACAGCGGCGTAGTAAGTAGTAGTGTAGTAGTAGTAGTAGTAGTAGTAGTATAGAGTAGAGCAAAGTAGTGTAGCAAGCAGTAGAGCTAGTACAGTAGTAAGTAGTAGCAGTAGCAGCAGTAGTAGTAGTAGACAGTAGTAGTATGTAGTAGTAGACAGTAGTAGTAGTAGTGTAGTAGTAGACAGCAGTAGTAGTAGTAGTAGTAGAGTAGTAGTAGTAGTAGTAGTAGAGAGTAGTAGCAGCATATAAGTAGTTCAGTAGCAGCAGTAAGCATAGTAGTAGTAGTAGAGTAGTAGAACAGCAGTAGTGTAGTAGAGTAGTAGTAAGTAGAGACTAGTAGTCAGTAGAGTAGTCGTAGTATTGTTAGTCAGCAGCGAGTAGTAGTAGAGTAACACAGTAGTAGTAGTAGTAGTAGTAGTAGTAGTAGTAGTTTGTAGTAACAGCAGTAGTAGTAGTAAAAATAGTAGTAGTAGTAGAAATAGTAGCAGTAGTAGTTGGTGCAGTAGTAGCTCCCGAGTGGTGCAGTGGTCTAAGGCACTGCATCGCAGTGCTAGCTGTGCCACTAGAGATCCTGGTTCGAGTCCAGGCTCTGTCGCAGCCGGCTGCAACCGGGAGACCCATGGGCGGCGCACAATTGGTCCAGCGTCGTCCAAGGTAGGGGAGGGTTTGGCCGGCAGGGATGTGGGTTCGTTTCCCACGGGGGGCCAGTATGAAAAAAATAAAAACGTATGTATTCACTAACTGTAAGTCGCTCTGGATAAGAGCGTCTGCTAAATGACTAAAATGTAGTTGTTGTAGTAGCAGCAGTAGTAGTAGTAGTAGTAGTAGTAGTAGTAGTAGTAGTAGTAGTAGTAGTAGTAGTAGTAGTAGTAGTATAGTTTAATGGTTGCTCACAGTCATAGACTGAGACTTTGGTTATGTGTAGGTGTTGTTTCTGTTTCCTCCTTTGTAATTGTGTGTGAATGCGTGTGTGCGCGTATGCATAATGTCATAGATGCTGTCAGTACCAGAGTACAAGACTCGTCTGAGAAGCCTCCACTTCAAAAGCACCCTGCAGGAGAAGACAGAGGAGATGAGGGGGGGCTACGACTGCATCTACAACGCCTCCATGGAGCTCAAGACCAGCAAGAAACTAGCCAAGATACTGGAGGTATACAATTATGTACTCTGACATGCAGGGGCGCAACTTTGGTTTTAGAAGTGGGGGGGACATAACTTGGTGGGGGGTCTGCGGATCCTCCCGTTTTTGGGGGCATCTAAAGCTCGTTTCCTGCATTTCTACACAGTCTAATATGACCCACGGCCCTTCTAGCCTTCTCTATTTAGAACAACATAAAGTAAGCAAAAATGCACAGTCATCAAGCTAGGTAAGATATCATTATGAAATATGTTAAAGTGATTGATAAGACTGAACTAGATCAAAGATAATTCAATAATACATATTTTGTTGCACCTTTAACCAATAGCCTAACAAATGAACAACTCTTACAAATAAAATACAAAGACTTTTAATTGTCTTTATTAAGACATCCTCTATATCAAATTTCAGCCAGACCGCCAGCCAGCCCGAGCCGCCTGCACGCCCAACCCCCACCAATCTAGTTAATAACTCAACTCTCTCCCCAACACAACTTCCTTCCTATCTTTTTTTTTTTATGTCTCAAGGGAAAGGTTTGGAAAACAAAAGTTGAATGAAAACACACATACACCTGCACATTAAGACACAGAAACAGTACACCCTCCATATAATTAATACCATAGGCCTAATATGACTGTAGAGCTCTTTTTACTTGCATACGATATAGCTGGGTCACCCAGTCCTGTCCCTAGGGGTCTACGGCCCTGCAGCGCCCCAACCCAGCACACCCCACTCAGCTTTAGGATCTTAGTGAAACATTAATTATTGGTTTCAGGTGTGTTAGGCCAAGGCCAAAGTGTCAACCAACAGTACGGCAGACCCCCAGGGCCAGGACTGAGCAGCCCAGCAGCTAGGGATTGCCTAAATAGGTATCTCCCCTGACGTGGGCATGTTTTCAATACAGACTCCTTTTGTCGTACATATAAGGCATCCAGACCTTATGAAAGTTGCACAGTATACCCTTAATCTTGTAATACATCAAATACATAAAATCTAGTGATACATAATTAACATTTCTTCCATCCATTGTGGGAGGATAACCAACCTTCCAATTAATGGCAATTCATTTCTTAGCCGCTTTAAATGCTAGGTTACACAGTTTCTACTGATAATAGTCTCCAGTGTCAACATTTCCAAGCAAACAAAAACAGGGAGAAGGGAGAATCTGTAGACATGCTGAGATATAAGAGCGTACTCTTTGCCAGAATTCAGCCAGCCTTCACAAGACCATAACATATGCAAATATGTCCCCTTTTGTGTTTTACACCTCCAGCAGAATAGTTACATTTGTGTGCATGATATTCAGTTTCACTGGCTTATAGTACGTTCTATGGATGGTCTTAAACTGCAGTAATTTATGTCTTGGATTATATGAACATAACTGGGCATTCTAACATATCTGTCTCCATTATCATCAATAGCGTCTCCCAGGTCTTCCTCACATTTTTGTTTGACATGTTTTGTGTCATCGGGAAAAGCCTCTATCAACCCTTGATACAGTTTGGAAATCAACTTTAGAGGTTTGTCGGACTGCCTTAAAATAATTTCAATCTTTGAAGCTTCTTGCTTGTCCTGCTCAGATGAGGCATGACAAATAATTGTATTGGTGTACATTTATACATTATATTATCTATGAATAGAATCAATGGTTCAACAATTGAAATAACCATTATTCCCAGATCCCAGACTGTAGCCTACCCATCAACTCAAGGTGGAACTTTGTATCCATTCACTGATTGTTATAATATACTGCAAAATTCAACTGAGCTCTGTAGACTGGTCTTCCCTGGCTGTCTGATCCTGCAGGGACACCTGTCACCATCTCATCCTGCTAAGACATTATGTAAATACTGACTTGTGCACCATGACAGTGAAGCCTGTAGAGCTGTGTATTTATTTTATCTTTACTTAACTAGGCAAGTCAGTTAAGAACGCATTTTTATTTACAATGACGGCCTACACCGGCCAAACCCGGACGACGCTGGGCCAATTGTGCGCCGCCCTATGGGACTCCCAATCACAGCCGGTTGTGATACAGCCTGGAATCGAACCAGGGGGTCTGTAGTGACGCCTCAAGCACTGAGATGCAGTGCCTTAGACCGCTGCGCCACTCGGGAGTATACCGTGTCTGTGTGAAAAGTAGTGAATTAGCTAGGGAAACTGACAGATCAATAATGTAACATTGCTATACTGACTAATAAAAACTCACATTTCGCTGAAAAAACATCAGAATATTGGTCTTCAGTCGTTTGGCCGCTGGTTTCATCATTTGATTCAGGTTGAGTGTGATTGAGGCAAAAATAATAGCTGAAGTTAGTTAGCTAGCTAGCTAACGTTAGCTAACTTTTGACTAGCTCTGCTAACTAATGGTACAATGATACATCATCAAATTACTTCTGTTGAAACGGGACAAAACAAAGGCTACAAAACATTTCCATACACACAACAGCTGTGAGATACTGCTACCTGACAGATAGCTAGGGGCTAGCTAGAGCTAAACTAGCTGTGGTAGCTACTAGCTAGCTAACTAGCTGCTAGTAGGTCATTCACTTCAGTCGAGAGGGGATGAACATTAACTAATGGAACATGTCAGTTACACTACTAGCTCAGCACTGGGAGTAAATATGTATTTTTCTGTCAAACAGCAGTTACCTTGCCTGCTAGATCAGTCAACTAAAGAGTAGGCAGTTTCTGCTCTGCATGCTTTTACAACTCGGAGAAAAAGCGCAGCACAGACAGCAGCTGCCTCTGTTCATCTCTCCCGTGCTGGTCCTATACGCCAGCCTTTTAGAAGCTTTGCCTTCATACAGCATGTCCGCATGCTCTGTGGTGTCTGTGCGGTCCTAAATCAAGCTGGCTGAAACCGGAAAACAGCCTACCTGACCGCTCTGAGGCGTCCGCATGGTCCTAAAGCACACCGGAGCCACGTTTTGTATCACAGCGCAATTATAAAACTGGGGGGGGACAAAAATGCAATTTCAGAATGTGGGGGGGGTCATGTCTCCAGTGAATGTTGCGCCCCTGCTGACATGTACAATCACCAGGAAGAGCTATGCAACTTCTTCTACTTGAACCTGTCACCCGCCAGCATGATTCTGATAAGATAAAACCAATAACAGTCTCATTCGGTGCTAAAAATGGAGAGGGTGGAAATGCGTTTGTTTGGTTTGACCAACCTTTTAGCTTGAGCCCCAGATACACCAGGAAGGTTAAGGATAGGCAGTAGCCCAAAGATGAAACACCTAAACAGCAATGAACAGGATGCTTTCATCTTCATCCATGAGCTGATTCACACCGTTTACCTAAGTGGAAAATAAAGATAGTGTTATTGTGGGTAACGTTTAGCCTTAAAGTGGTAATGTTGCTTTTTCAATCCTAAATTAAATACAAGCTATATGCTAACTGTGTCGGATGTTTCCTTAGTTTGTGCTGGCGATGGGAAACTATCTGAACAATGGTCAGCCTAAGACCGGCAACAAGACCACCGGGTTTAAGATCAACTTCCTCACTGAGGTAAGCTCCTCAGGGGTATTGGCCTGTATTCCTATTACATTTCTTTACTTCACTGTTGTTAACCAACGGACATTGTTACTAATAGACCACTGTTTCTTGTAGCTCAGCACCACAAAAACAGTGGATGGGAAATCTACGTTTCTGCACATCCTCGTCAAGTCACTGTGTCTTCACTTTCCCAACGTCCTGGATTTTGCCAAGGACCTCACCACGGTTCCCCTGGCAGCCAAAGGTAAACTGAGTAGCAGTTTTTTCATGTGCACAATTAATTTTGTGTGTCGGGTGTAGTGTTTCATGTATGTTGTGTTACATGTAATGTTTACCTATTGCGTGTCAATGAATAGATTAAATATGTAATCCAGTTTTTCCATAAGCACTCTTCCACCTTTGTTCTCTCTCTCTCTCTCTCTCTCTCTCTCTCTCTCTCTCTCTCTCTCTCTGTCTCTGTCTCTGTCTCTGTCTCTGTCTCTCTCTCTCTCTCTCTCTCTCTCTCTCTCTACTATCTCACTCACTCACTCTCTGTAGTGAACCAGAAGACCATCACATCTGATCTGAATGACCTTCACACCACTATCCAGGACATCCGATCTGCCTGCCAGAAAATGCCTGCTACAGCAGATGACCGCTTCGCTGCAGTCATGAGTGTATCTTTCACAACAAACCTGAGAGAGAGAATTATTTATTACAGGCTTCTATATTCACAGGTGTTAGAGTATGCATACTGTAAAATATTATACTTCGGTTCTCTTCATTCATACTTTCAATGTACAATGTGTGTGTTTGTAGGCTAAGTACATACAGTGTCCATGTTTGTATTGTATTTGCACTTTTCTCCTGAACACACACACATATCCCTCTAGAATTGACCTATATTACTTGAATGCTTTGAACATCACTGACTCACTGTATATATTCATAAGGTGCCTTAGTCCAAGTCTCAAAGCCCTTTACATGGGGGTCTCTCACCCATCCACCACCAATGTGTACTGTAGCTCCTACCTCTGGCTGTTGTGTCCTTGACTTCACTCTGAGCAGGGCTTCCTGGAGAACATCCACCCAGCGCTACAGTCTCTGGAGTCCCTGCAGCAGAGGGCCATGGAGGAGTTTTCCAAGACAGCCTCCTTCTTCGGAGAGGACAGCCAGGCCACCAACACAGAGGCCTTCTTTGGGATATTCGCCGAGTTCCTCGCCAAGTTTGAGGTGAACCGCCTAGAGTTTGAAAGAGTCCTCTGAAATAGACAAGTATGTAGTGCTATCAAGAAGTGCTATCAAGATGGTAGTAGTAATGGTACTGCATGTGTTTGTCTTGTCTGACAATGTTTTGTTGTTGTTTTTCAGAGAGCTCTCAGTGAGAACCAGGCCAATGAGAACCCTCCTAGGAGTCCCAGGAGCCCAAGAATGTCCTCACCCCTGGCCTGGTGAACAGAGAGACAGGCAGGCAGGCAGACAGGCACACACACACACTATCTCTCTCTCACACACACACAGACAGGAGCGCATGCAAAAATCCACATACATTCACACGCACGCACACACACAAACACATGCACACAAACACACTCACAGTATTTCAATTTTTGTAATTCAAGATATTCTATTGTGGGAATGAGGTTGTCTGCAGAGTTGAGGATACAGGGCTTTAATACATGACAGTGTAGTTTGGATGTCCAGCTAGTTTAACTCCTCAAACTCTGTATGTTCCATGGCTATACAGTGTTCCTCTGGAACATACAAATTCAGCTATACTGGATCAATGGTTTTGCTTTTTATATACTTGTAAATAAAAATGTTATACCATTTATCTAAAAGCAAAGAATCATGAAATGGAATAGGAAAGAGACTGACAACAGTTACCATTTGAACCCAGCTGTCTGATATACTGTATATGAATGTATGATACAATTATAGGCTAGAAAGATTAAGTCTACAGAACATGATCAGCAATGGTAAACAGAATACTGGATAGTTTACCTGTGGGATACCATGGTTTTGAGAGACATACAGATTTAATCAATTATTGCTAAAACATGTCTTTGATACTTCAGCAGTTAAAAGAGATGACTGAATGTCTGTGTCAATGTGTATGATTTGAGAATTCAATGCTTATTATACATTGTACCATTTAAATATAACTGTAATCATGTAATACAGAAGATACATATTTAAGTAGTCAATTATCAAATGCTTTACAATAATTTCATTTTTTAAATGATTTACCTGTTCCATATTTTTGTAAGCCACCCACCACACTGAATGTATTTACAAGTTATTTATTTTGTACCATATCCAGTGGACACTCATTGCACATCTACTAAAGAAAAGGAATGTTAAGAAAATGAAAAGAAAGATGGATGTACATTTATGCTGTTAAATATATGTGCCTCTCTGTCTCTGATTGTGTTGATACTGAAATGCGGTAAACGGGCAGTGTGCAATGTGCTATTATGAACAGTAGGAGGATTTGTTCATTTTTCTGGATAGTTTCTGCATACTGCACCTTCACTTTAATCTCTATAATTCAATGAGGGTACACACAACTTTCTTGAAGCACATTACTTAAAGGAATAGTTCACCCAAATTACAAAATGACATATTGGTTTCCTCACCCTGTAAGCAGTCTATGGACAAGGTAATATGCCATTTAGCAGGTAGGACGGCAATCCGTGCTTTGGTTTAGTTTCCCTGGCACTGTTTCCACATGCTAATGTTTTAGCATTTGTGGCACAAATCCCATTCAAATCATGGGACCGATATTAGCATTTTTCATTTATCATGTCCAAATAATCCCAAAGTATCTCAAATTGATTGTGAAGCTCAACAATGTCACTTCTACAGTAGATGATTTGAACATGATGCGTGAAAATGATAATATCGGTCCCATTACTAGAATGGATTTGTGCCACAAATGCAAAAATGTTAGCAGTACCAGGGAAACTAAACCAAAGCATGGATTGCCGTCGTAATTTGTCCATAGACTGCTTACAGGGTAAGAACACCAATATGGCATGTTGTAATTTGGGTGAACTATCCCTTAAACATGCAGTAACTATTGACTTTAATGACATAGGATATTAATACTTAACTTTATCAAACCATGTTTCAACATAACATTGTCAATTGATATGGACTGATTGTGTAACTGACACATGGATGTTTTCAACCCAAACATGGAGGACATTTTACATATTCAATTAGAGCAACACTGGCCTCCAGCTTTTCAGACATTCGTTACATGAGAGAAATAGGATCATTTTTGTGCATAATTTCAAATTAATAAAATAAGGCAAATGTAAGAAGACGTACTGATAATGTTATTAATTACATTTCGATAAGTTATTGCCATCATTTGTTTTCTAACGGTATGATCTTAATTTCTGACTTTGTCATCTGGATAGCTATACATATTCAGCAATGTGTTCTGGAAGTCGTTGCTCTCGGATAAGTCTATGTTTTGTATTGTAACAGCCAATGCTGACAAATATAAACTTTAAGAACATTTTCCTGAATTACTGTCTTTTTCCTAAATACAGCTTTTTACAACCTGAGTTATGCAAGTGATTTAGTAGTGGAAATGTCTGTGTGATCATCAGTGAGTTTGTTGTCTCTATTGTAGTGATAAGAGTGCTATGAAACATTGATAAGAGTGCTATGAGGAATTGTGAGCCAAAAGCCAGTTTAATCTGATTGTTGTGGATAGGTATTACAGTAAAACACTAGTACTGTAGAGTCTGAAGAGCTCTGGTCAGTGTAGTGACAGATCTAACTAATCTTATAATTTAGCAGAACGAAGAGTGTCTTATCTGCACATGTTTGTACAATTATTGTTACAGAGTATGTTTACTAGTTCAGTAGACACACACACACACACTCACACACACACTTGCTCTGGTTTACAACTCAACCAACAACTATCATTCTACTATTAACTCTGGGCAGATGTTGTGCAACGTCGCTGTTCACTGGTAATAAAACTCTTACAGTTTAACCAGCTAGTGTTGTCATATATAAGTAGACGGTGGAGTTTGATCCTCTGGTCAGAAAGGAGACCTAGACTGGACTGGAATTTTCCTTGAGGTGAGAAGTGTTTGAGGCTGAATGTACAATATACACCATGTGAACTGCCATAGGACCGGCCAACTGGAATTAAACCCTGAGTCTGACTACCCGCTGACAGGTGAGTACTGTATGGTTCAGTACTCTTAAAAGCAAGGTGACGATTGTCCTTGAGTTAGTGTTTGGTGTGAGGATATTGTATGAATGGTGTGTGGGAATTAAAACATGGACTGTAGAATAGTTGGTCTCTCTTGATAACACTTTACACTGTGGAGCTTCTCAGCATACACTGAGTATACAAAACATTAAGGAAACCTGCTCTTTCCATGACAGACTGACCAGGTGAATCCAGGTGACAGCTATGATCCCTTATTTATGTCACTTGTTAAATCCACATCAATCAGTGTAAATGAAGGGGAGGAGACCGGTTAAAGAATGATTTTTAAGCCTTGAGACAGTTGAGACATGGATTGTGTATGTGTGCCTTTCAGAGGGTGAATGGGCAAGACAAAAGGTTTAAGTGCCTTTGAACGGGGTATAGTAGCACCGGCTTGACAGTTTCCCGTGTGTATCAAGAATGGTCCACCACCCAAAGGACATCCAACCAACTTGGCACAACTGTTGGAAGCATTGGAGTCAACATGGGGCAGCATCCTTGTGGAACGCTTTCGACACCTGACAAATTGAGGCTATGAATCAGGATAATGTATAAACTCTGGTCAGGGTCCAGTGTGTATAGTGTAAAACCTCTATATGTGTATGTATGTGTGTGTTTCGGAGGGGTTGGGTTAAAATAGGAAGTAACATTTTGGTTGGACCTTGTGTGCAATTGAGCAATAAAGTGAATTTAATCTAGTGAATGAAGTGTTTGGAGGTTCTATTGTGATTAGAATCAACAATGACTACATTTCCCACACCAGCAGGATACGCAATCACTCCCTGAGAATTCCAGTGACCTTTGACCCTACAGTATGGCTACCACCCAGGGGACCAGCGTGTCCCCCTCCCAATCCCCAGGTGTAGGTGTACCCACCCTGGTCACCGTAGACATTGTGGTGCTCGTTGTCTACTTCCTACTTGTGCTGGCTGTGGGCCTCTGGGTAAGTAAGAGAAAGCAATAGGGAAATGTCATTTCCCAAGTTATGTAGCTGGCCAAAAGTAGTGCACTATATAGGGAATAGGATTCAATTTCTAAATGATTTGAACCAGATGCTATTCAGTAGCTCTAGTGAGATTTACTGAAACATGTCATGTGCTCTATTGGGATATATATTTTTTGTTGCTCTACAGTATATCCTTGCATCTGAATCTCAAAGTAGATTTGTTCTACTTCAGAACACTCCTTCAGCACACTAATTCAGCACACTCCTTCAGCACACGAATTGAACACACTAATTCAGCACACTCCTTCACCACACTAATTCAGCATGCTCCTTCAGCACACAAATTGAACACACTAATTCAGCACACTCCTTCAGCACACTAATTCAGCACACTCCTACAGCACACTAATTCAGCACACTCCTTCAGCACACTACTTCAGCACACTACTTCAGCACACTCCTTCAGCACACATTGAAGTCTGAATAGAGAATTTGTCTAACAGCCAGTCCTTCTCTTCCAGTCCATGTGGAAAACCAAGCGGAGCACGGTGGATGGATACTTCCTGGCAGGAAAGAGCATGTCCTGGTGGCCGGTGAGTGAAAAGAAACAGAGATGTTGCTATGGAAACTACACACAAATTACATCCACTCTGTATGTTGAATGGATTCCAGATGTTTGATGCCAAGAGGAAACCATGTTGATTTATTCCAGGACCAAACCAGATGGTGAAACAAAGCAGCCCTTGTATTGTTATTGGGGTGAAACTGCGATTTTATATGGGGAGATATGAATACAATGGGGTTGGCTTAAAGTCAGACATTGTTGTATTGTCATTCACTCATTCTGTCTGTGTCTGTCATTCTCTCTCTCTTTATCTCTCTTACACTCTCTCTGCAGGTGGGCACCTCTCTGTTTGCCAGTAATGTGGGTAGTGGCCACTTCATGGGCCTGGCAGGCTCAGGAGCGGCAGCGGGCATCGGTGCTGTGGCATATGAGTGGAACGTAAGACCATGAAATTGGACATTATAATTCACTTTAAACTGGGCATAAAATGTGTGAATCTCTATTACAGATGTAGGATCTTAATTTGATCACCCTGTAGCAGGAGAACTTTCCTGCAATGCAGGCAATTTAGGTTTAAAAAGGCTTCTGAAGTTTGTAATTTCCACTTAGAAATTTCAGACTAGATTTTTCCCTCACGAAAAAAGTATCAACCCTACAAAAATCTCCATTAATTATAATCCACATAATAATTCAAATTTCCTGTTGCTGCAGGATTAATTAAGACCCTACATCTGTACATTATTTTGATAGGAAATACAGTATGGTTTAATGCTAACATAAAAATACTACTTTTTTATACTAAGTTTAGCTTAAATCACTTACAAGTATCAATGTCTCTGATTGGCAGGGGATGCTGATGGTGCTGCTCCTGGGTTGGCTTTTCCTGCCCATCTATATTGCTTCCGGGGTGAGAGGTCAACCAACACCTTTCTGTCAGTGTACTGTCTGTACTACTGAAATATCACACAACCCACGAGTAGGCCTACTGAAATTCTATGCAACATCAAAAAGCATTGTGCCTATTTTACTTAGTACACCAGATTAGTACCTCACTTTCCTCTCTGTGTACTGAGACACAACACATTCCTCTCTGTACTGAGAACCAACACTTTCCTATCTGTGTACTGAGAACCAACACTTTCCTCTCTGTGTACTGAGAACCAACACTTTCCTATCTGTGTACTGAGAACCAACACTTTCCTCTCTGTGTACTGAGAACCAACACTTTCCTATCTGTGTACTGAGAACCAACACTTTCCTCTCTGTGTACTGAGAACCAACACTTTCCTCTCTGTGTACTGAGACGCAACACTTTCCTCTCTGTGTACTGAGACACTTTCCTCTCTGTGCACTGAGAACCAACACTTTCCTCTCTGTGTACTGAGAACCAACACTTTCCTCTCTGTGTACTGAGACGCAACACTTTCCTCTCTGTGTACTGAGACACTTTCCTCTCTGTGTACTGAGAACCAACACTTTCCTCTCTGTGTACTGAGAACCAACACTTTCCTCTCTGTGTACTGAGACACTTTCCTCTCTGTGTACTGAGAACCAACACTTTCCTCTCTGTGTACTGAGAACCAACACTTTCCTCTCTGTGTACTGAGACGCAACACTTTCCTCTCTGTGTATTGAGACACTTTCCTCTCTGTGTACTGAGACGCAACACTTTCCTCACTGTGTACTGATACACTTTCCTCTCTGTGTACTGAGACACTTTCCTCTCTATGTACTGAGACACTTTCCTCTCTGTGTACTGAGACACAACACATTCCTCTCTGTACTGAGAACCAACACTTTCCTATCTGTGTACTGAGAACCAACACTTTCCTCTCTGTGTACTGAGAACCAACACTTTCCTCTCTGTGTACTGAGAACCAACACTTTCCTCTCTGTGTACTGAGACGCAACACTTTCCTCTCTGTGTACTGAGACACTTTCCTCTCTGTGCACTGAGAACCAACACTTTCCTCTCTGTGTACTGAGAACCAACACTTTCCTCTCTGTGTACTGAGAACCAACACTTTCCTCTCTGTGTACTGAGAACCAACACTTTCCTCTCTGTGTACTGAGACGCAACACTTTCCTCTCTGTGTACTGAGACACTTTCCTCTCTGTGTACTGAGAACCAACACTTTCCTCTCTGTGTACTGAGACACTTTCCTCTCTGTGTACTGAGAACCAACACTTTCCTCTCTGTGTACTGAGAACCAACACTTTCCTCTCTGTGTACTGAGACGCAACACTTTCCTCTCTGTGTATTGAGACACTTTCCTCTCTGTGTACTGAGACGCAACACTTTCCTCACTGTGTACTGATACACTTTCCTCTCTGTGTACTGAGACACTTTCCTCTCTGTGTACTGAGACACTTTCCTCTCTGTGTACTGAGACACAACACATTCCTCTCTGTACTGAGAACCAACACTTTCCTATCTGTGTACTGAGAACCAACACTTTCCTCTCTGTGTACTGAGAACCAACACTTTCCTATCTGTGTACTGAGAACCAACACTTTCCTCTCTGTGTACTGAGAACCAACACTTTCCTATCTGTGTACTGAGAACCAACACTTTCCTATCTGTGTACTGAGAACCAACACTTTCCTCTCTGTGTACTGAGAATTCCCGAAACACTTTCCTCTCTGTGGTACTGAGAACCAACACTTTCCTCTCTGTGTACTGAGAACCAACACTTTCCTCTCTGTGTACTGAGAACCAACACTTTCCTCTCTGTGTACTGAGACGCAACACTTTCCTCTCTGTGTATTGAGACACTTTCCTCTCTGTGTACTGAGACGCAACACTTTCCTCACTGTGTACTGATACACTTTCCTCTCTGTGTACTGAGACACTTTCCTCTCTGTGTACTGAGACACTTTCCTCTCTGTGTACTGAGACGCAACACTTTCCTCTCTGTGTACTGAGACACTTTCCTCTCTGTGTACTGAGAACCAACACTTTCCTCTCTGTGTACTGAGAACCAACACTTTCCTCTCTGTGTACTGAGACGCAACACTTTCCTCTCTGTGTATTGAGACACTTTCCTCTCTGTGTACTGAGATGCAACACTTTCCTCACTGTGTACTGATACACTTTCCTCTCTGTGTACTGAGACACTTTCCTCTCTGTGTACTGATACACTTTCCTCTCTGTGTACTGAGACACTTTCCTCTCTGTGTACTGAGACACTTTCCTCTCTGTGTACAGAGACACTTTAGATCACAGTAGTGCTAACTTGTTCAATCATTAATGTTCTGTTCTGTCTGTTCCCTTTATCATGCAGGTGACAACCATGCCTGAATACTTGCAGAAGCGATTCGGGGGGAAGAGAATACAATTATTTATAGCTATTTTGTATTTATTCATTTACATCTTCACAAAGATATCGGTAAGTAAAATCAAAACTCTTCTTTGTATCTCATCAGCTATTTACTTTCTCAATACAACATTGGTTTTGATGTGGCGGCAGGTAGCTTAGTGGTTAAGAGCGTTGTGCCAGTAACCGGAAGGTCGCTGGTTCTAATCCCCGAGCCGCCTAGGTGAAAAATCTGTCGATGTGCCCTTGAGCAAGGCACTTAACCCTAATTGCTCCTATAAATCGCTCTGGATTAGAGCGTCTGCTAAATGACTCAAATGCAAATGCAAAATGTGAATTTATTGTATGAATTGAGATCGCTTGCTCCGCTGCTGCAACCTGTGCTTGTGTGTGCAGGTGGATATGTATGCTGGGGCAGTGTTCATTCAACAGGCCCTGCAGTGGAACATCTATTTAGCTGTGGTGGTGCTTCTGCTCATCACTGCTCTCTACACTGTAGCAGGTACCCTTCTATTGTCTCACTCTTTCACTAATTTTCTCTCTATATATCCCTTTCTCTCTTTCACTCTCTTCCAAAACAATCAGATTTAGTTTCCTAAAGACTACCAGTTCAAACATACAGCCAAATACAACAACCAAACAACCCTAATTGAAATGGAAAACACTCAGTTTGTCTGTGACAGATGATGTATGTCCAGTACTGGTTCAGTGTTGTGTTGTTTCAGGTGGACTGGCAGCAGTCATCTACACAGACGCTGCCCAGACTGGCATCATGCTGATAGGAGCACTCACCCTCATGGGCTTCAGTAAGTCTCCTACTCTTACAATGGTCAATACTGGATCTGCTTTGGTGCTGTGTTGATTGGTGGCTACTGTATACACTGAGTATACCAAACATTAGGAACACCTTCCCAATATTGAGTTGCCCTCAGAATAGCCTCAATTCGTCGGGGCGTGGAGTCTAAAAGGTGTCAAAAGCGTTCCACAGGGATGCTGGCCCATGTTGACTCCAAAGCTTTCCACAGTTGTGTCAAGTTGACTGGATGTCCTTTGGGTGGTGGACCATTCTTGATACACACAGGAAACTGTTGAGCGTGAAAAACCCAGCAGCACTGCAGTTGTTGACACAAACCGGTGTGCCTGGCACCTACTACCATCTACACTGATTGAAGTGCCATCAAGAAGGGATCATAGCTTTCACCTGGATTCACATGGTCAGTCTATGTCATGGAAAGAGCAGGTGTTCGTAATGTTTTGTATACTCAGTGTATGTATCAAATACTTTGTCTTTAATCAGAAAAAATAGTTTTCAACTAGATTTTAGATTTTATTGTCAGTTATAGATTTTCATGTTGTTCACTCTCTGTATAGGTTAGACTCTGTACAGTACAGTACAGTTTGCCTAACTGTCTAACTCTGCCCTACTCTGTGGAGGTTTCGCTGAGGTGGGGGGCTGGAACGCCCTCCTAGAGCGGTACGCTACGGCCATCCCCTCGGTCCGTGACCCCAACACCACTTGTGGCATCCCCCGGGATGACGCCTTCCACCTGTTCCGTGACGCCGTGACCTCTGACCTGCCCTGGCCGGGCATCCTCCTGGGCATGTCCATACCCTCCATGTGGTACTGGTGCTCAGACCAGGTAACAGTGACACTGCTCAGGGACAGTCACTAGTATTTACCTCTATACCAGGCGGTGTCAGAGGAAGGCCCTAAAAATGGTCAAAGACTCCAGCCACCCTAGTCATAGACTGTTCTCTCTGCTACCACATGGCAAGCGTTACCGGAGCGTCAAGTCTAGGTCCAAAAGGCTTCTTATCAGCTTCTACCCCCAAGCCATAAGACTCCTGAACAGCTAATTAAATGGCTACCCCGACTATTTGCATTGTCCCCCCCCGACTAACCTGTGCCCATGCACATTGACTCTGTACCGGTACCCCCTGTATATAGCCTTGCTACTGTTATTTTACTGCTGCTCTTTCATTATTTTTTATTTTTATTTCTTACTCATCTATTTTTTTTACTTAACACTTATTTCTCTTAAAACTGCATTGTTGGTTAAGGGCTTGTAAGTAAGCATTTCACTGTAAGGTCTACACCTGTTGTACTCGGCGCATGTGACAAATACTTTTTTATTTTATTTTATTTGACTAGATGGCGGTATCTGAAGATCTGAGGTATCAGAATTGATACACCTTAAAGGGGAATGGAAACACTAGGCTTTAGAACACCATCTAACTGTAAATCGCCATATTGGCATTGTTCCATCACTGGCAGGAGAGTTTTGATACACCTTAATAATAAAACAGATGGATTGTTTAAGTGCTCTATAGACTTGGGAGGCACATTCAGCTGCTCTGTCAACAGTTCCAGTCACTGATCCTGTGTTGTGTTGAATCCAGGTGATAGTGCAGCGCTCCCTGTCTGCTAAGAACCTGCTCCATGCTAAAGGAGGCTCCCTGCTGGCTGCTTACCTCAAGATCCTGCCCTTCTTCATGATGGTCCTGCCTGGCATGATCAGCAGAATACTCTACCCAGGTACAATGTCCTAACTGCTACGCTTTGGTAGTACCTCTAGAGTGGATACTGTATCCAGGTAAAACCTGTTGATACCACCATCAAACAGAAAGAAGACAGTGTATGTACAGCAGTGTTGTTGTTGTTGCGTCTAGACGAGGTGGCGTGTGGTGACCCTGATGTGTGTACTGAGGGTGCTTCAAATGCCCCCCCCCCCCTTTTGGGGCGATTTCAGTCAGGTTGAAAATCGCCCAGAAGTCTGTCATAGACTCCCATGTAAAATCTATTTTTTTCAAATATCAGAGCTTTCAATACAATCTCTATGGGTTTCTGAGGGCTTGCACTTACGCGCTTTCGTCATACGTAACATATAACCATGAACGTAACTAAGAAAAGAGCGGGTAGCAGCGTCAATCAATTCACTACTTCTATCAAAATGGCTAGGCTTCAGTGCAACTCGATTGTGTCTTTGAAAGAAGTTCCTTTTTGTCGGCGAACAAATGAAGATAAATTGGCAACGAAACAATTAGGACCTCCCAGACCAAATGTAATAATTCAACAGGTTTCTACTAAAGGGGGGAAGTCCTACACCCGAGGATTTTCCAAAAATTGGTACGAACGAAAAACCTGGCTAGCAGGCTGCGATGTAGCTAATGCAGTCTTCTGCTACCCCCTGCTTACTCTTTCACCCTGAAGGCGGCACGGCAGACAGCACCGCTTGGACAGCGACTGGTGTGTAACGGACATGCACCATCTTTCAGGAAAGATTAAGAAACATGAGCTGTCAAAGACCCACATGGATAGCTGTTTGAGATTGTCTGCTTTGGGGAGAGTGAACATTCCCACTCAACTGGATGAGGGATACAGGCTAGCTGTCCGCCGCCACAACGATGAGGTTAGTGTTGATAATCACAAGTTTACTGGAGAACTGAAACTGACAAGGCTGACAAGATAGGACCCTTTTGTCCATTGTTATTGGATAGGAACAGAACTTATAACCAGCTCCTGACCTAAATAGATCTTAGCACAACATTTTACTCAACATATCATATTCCATATTCACTATAACAAATATATTTACTACGACATTAGCAAGAACCGCCACATCCTCAGCCGGCTAATCCAGTGTGTGAAGTTTTGCGGAGTGTTTGAGTTAGCTTTGCGAGGCAAAGATGAAACTGAGGGCTCCACCAACCCTGTGGGAACCCAGTGGGCTGTTCAGACATCGCCTACGCCAAACTGGTTATGAAGCTACTGCCCTCAGGTGAGGAAGTCTTCTTCTCTCTGTAACATTGTGTATATCTGTCTTTCTCACTTCCTGTACACACAAACATCTGCTGTGTGTTTCTTTCACTCTCTAGCCCTGTTTATACCTGATTATTTTTCTCCCCAATTTCGTCATATCCAATTACGATCTTGTCTCATCGCTGCAACTCCCCAACGGGCTCGGGAGAGGCAAAGTTCGTGTCATGCGTCCTCCGAAACATGACCCGCCAAACCACGCTCCTTAACACCCGCCCGCTTAACCCAGAAGCCAGCCACACCAATGTGTCAGAGGAAACACTGTTCAACTGACATCCGAGGTCAGCCTGCAGGCGCCCGGCCCACCACAAGGAGTCGCTAGAGCGCGATGAGCCAAGTAAAGCCCCCCCGGCCAAACCCTTCCCTAACCAGGACGACGCTGGCCAATTGTGCGCCGCCATATGGGACTACCGGTCACGGCCGGTTGTGACACAGCCTGGGATCGAACCCGGGTCTGTAGTGACGCCTGCGATGCAATGCCTTAGACCGCTGCGCCACTCGGGAGTAAACCTGGTTCTAACATGCAGCCTTTGTCCTGATCTTGTGCACATTCTGATTGTGCCCACATTTTTTTGAGAAGTGTAGACGATTAAAATATGCATTGTGATCTGATTGTACTCAGATCTTATGAGTGTAAACAGACAATATCAGCACAAGATCAAGTTGAAGGCCGCATGTTTCAAATATACACATATACACTTCATGCGATGCGCACTGCAGAGAACACCGGAAGAAGAATTACCACAGTGAATTATTGTAATGCTTGTTTGTGTGTCAATTAATCCCATAAGGGATGGGTTGCCAACTGCCGATTTGACACGAAAATAAAATGTCATTCAAATTTCATACACACATGCATGTGACCTTACACATTCTCCCTCTTTCACTCTCTCTTTCTCTCGCTCGCTGTCTTTCTCGCTCTCTCTGTGTACTCTCCATACTGCTGTGTCTCTCTCTTGCTCTCCAGGTCTGCGTGGTCTGATGATGGCGGTGATGATCGCTGCTCTCATGTCCTCCCTCACCTCCATCTTCAACAGCTCCAGCACCATCTTCACCATGGACCTGTGGAGGCACATCCGGCCCCGTGCCACCGAGTGGGAACTCATGCTTGTGGGAAGGTACACATACACATGCAAATGGACAAATGAATGAAATCACACACACATGCACACACACACACCATACCATCATACCTGTGTCCTATCCTCCTCAGGATGTTTGTGCTGGTTCTGGTGGCGGTGTCAGTGCTGTGGATCCCTGTGGTCCAGGCCAGTCAGGGAGGACAGCTTTTCATCTATATCCAGTCCATCAGTACCTACTTCCAGCCTCCTGTTTCCATCGTCTTCCTGACTGGATGCTTCTGGAAGAGGACAAACGAGAAGGTGTGTGCGTGTGTGTGTTGGGGATTAAACCTGGCACCGACGAAGATGGCGACCTCGCAACTAGCTCTTAGGAAACTTTGAAGTATTTTGTTTTTTTATGTATTATTTTTTATATTATTAGCTCAGAAAGTGTTTTGTATCATTACATACAGCCGGGAAAAACTATTGGATATCAGAACGGCGGTAACTCACCAGCATTACGACCAGGAATACGACTTTCCCGATGAAGATCCTTTGTTTGCTTTCCCCAGGGCAATTGAACTGATTCTAGCGGCTGACCCAAAACATCGCCGGCGGAGGAGAGACACTCGGAGCGGCCTGCTGGTTCGACTTAGGAGGCGTGCTCACCACCCACCGCTTCTAAGTATACTACTCGCTAATGTTCAGTCTTTGGATAACAAAGTCGACGAGCTCAGGGCAAGGATTTATTTCCAGAGAGACATCAGGGCCTGTAACATACTTTGTTTCACAGAAACATGGCTCTCTGGGGATATTCTGTCGAAATCGGTCCAGCCAGATTCAGTTAATCGCGCAGACAGAAATAAATATCTCTCCGGGAAGCAGAAGGGTGGAGGTGTGTGTTTCATGATTAACGACTCATGGTGTAATTGTAGTAACATACAGGAACTCAAGTCCTTTTGTTCACCCGACCTAGAATACCTCACAATCAAATGCCGACCGTATTATCTCCCAAGAGAATTGTCTTCGGTTATTGTTACAGCCCTGTATATCCCCCCTCAAGCCGATACCACGACGGCCCTCAAAGAACTTCACTGGACTTTATGCAAACTGCAAACCACATATCCTGAGGCTGCATTTATTGTAGCCAGGGATTTTAACAAAGCAAATTTGAGGACTAGGCTGCCGAAGTTCTATCAACATATAGACTGTTGTACTCGGGCTGCTAAAATTCTCAAGCATTGCTATTCAAACTTCCGGGATGGAGGCTGCCGAAGTTCTATCAACATATCGACTATTGTACTCGGGTTGCTAAAATTCTCGAGCATTGCTATTCAAACTTCCGGGATGGTTATAATGCCCCCCCTCCCGCCCTCCTTTTGGCAAATCTGACCACGACTCCATTTCGCTCCTCCCTTCCTATAGGCAGAAATTCAAACAGGATGTACCCGTGCTAAGAACTATTCAACGCTGGTCTGACCAATCGGAATCCACGCTTCAAGATTGTTTTGATCACGCGGACTGGGATATGTTCCGGGTAGCTTGCGAAAATAATTTAGACGAATACACTGAAACGGTGACTGAGTTTATCAGGAGATGTTGTGCCCACTGTGACTATTAAAACCTACCCTAACCAGAAACCGTGGATAGATGGCAGCATTCGCGCAAAATTGAAAGCGCGAACCACCGCATTTAACCATGGCAAGGTGACTGGGAATATGGTAGAATACAAACAGTGTAGCTACTCACTCCGCAAGGCAATTAAACTGGCAAAACATCAGTATAGAGACAAAGTGGAGTCGCAATTCAATAGCTCAGACACAAGATGTATGTGGCAGGGTCTACAGACAATCACAGACTACAAAAGGAAAACCAGCCACGTCGCCGACACCGACGTCTCACTTCCAGACAAGCTAAACACCTTCTTCGCCCGCTTTGAGGATAACACAGTGCCACCGACGCGGCCCACTACCAAGGGCTCTCCTTCTCCGTAGCCGACGTGAGTAAGACATTTAAGCATGTTAACCCCCGCAAGGCTGCCGGCCCAGACAGCACCCCTAGCCGCGTCCTCAGAGCATGCAAAGACCAGCTGGCTGGTGTGTTTACGGACATATTCAATCTCTCCCTATCCCAGTCTGCTGTCCCCACATGCTTCAAGATGGCCACCATTGTTCCTGTACCCAAGAAAGCAAAGGTAACTGAACTAAATGACTATCGCCCCGTAGCACTCACCTCTGTCATCATGAAGTGCTTTGAGAGACTAGTCAAGGATCATATCACCTCTACCTTACCTGTCACCCTAGACCCACTTCAATTTGCTTACCGCCCCAATAGATCCACAGACGATGCAATCGCCATCACACTGCACACTGCCCTATCCCATCTGGACAAGAGGAATACTGTAAGAATGCTGTTCATTGACTACAGCTCAGCATTCAACACCATAGTACCCTCCAAGCTCATCATTAAGCTTGAGGCCCTGGATCTGAACCCCGCCCTGTGCAACTGGGTCCTGGACTTCCTGACGGGCCGCCCCCAGGTGGTGAAGGTAGGAAACAACATCTCCACTTCACTGATTCTCAACACTGGGGCCCCACAAGGGTGCGTGCTCAGCCCCCTCCTGTACTCCCTGTTCACCCATGACTGCGTGGCCAAGCACGCCTCCAACTCAATCATCAAGTTTGCAGACGACACAACAGCAGTAGGCTTGATTACCAACAATGACGAGACAGCCTACAGGGAGGAGGTGAGGGTTCTGGGAGTGTGGTGCCAGGAAAATAACCTCTCACTCAACATCAACAAAACAAAGGAGATCTCCAGAGAGTGGTGCGGTCTGCCAAACGCATTACCGGGGGCAAACTACCCGCCCTCCAGGACGTCTACAGCACCCGATGTCACAGGAAGGCCAAAAAGATCATCAAGGACATCAACCACCTGAGCCACTGTCTGTTCACCCCACTATCATACAGAAGGTGAGGTCAGTACAGGTGCATCAAAGCTGGGACCGAGAGAATGAAAAACAGCTTCTATCTCAAGGCCACCAGACTGTTAAATAGCCATCACTAGTACATTAGAGGCTGCTGCTGCCTATTGAAATCACTGGCCACTTTAAGAAGTGGAACACTAGTCACTTTAATAATGTTTACATATCTTGCACTACTCATCTCATATGTATATACTGTATTCTATAATATTCTACTGTATCTTAGTCCATGCCGCTCTGTCATTGCTTGTCCATATATGTAAATATTCTTAAATTCCATTCCTTACTAGATTTGTGTGTATTGGGTATATGTTGTGAAATTGTTAGATATTACTTGTTAGATATTACTGCACCGTCAGAGCTAGAAGCACAAGCATTTCGCTACACCCGCAATAACATCTGCTAAACACGTGTATGTGACAAATAAAAATTGATTTGATTTGAGAGAGAGAGAGATGGGGAGAGAGAGAGAGACGGGGGAGAGAGAGGAGAGAGAGAGATAAAGAGAGAGAGACGGAACAGAGAGAGAGAGGTAGAAAGTGTAAGTACAGAATAGAGTATGTGAGGTTCTTGTTGTGTCTGTAGTGAAGGTTTGTAGTGAAGGTGTCTGTCGTGAAAGTGTCTGTAGTGAAGGTTTGTAGTGAAGGTGTCTGTAGTAAAGGTGTCTGTAGTGAAGGTTTGTAGTGAATATGTCTGTACTGAAGGTATGTAGTGAAAGTGTCTGTAGTGAAGATGTCTGTAGTGTAGTGAAGGTGTCTGTAGTGAAGGTGTCTGTAGTGAAGTTTGGAGTGAAAGTGTCAGTAGTGAAGTTGTCTGTAGTGAAATTTGTAGTGAAGTTGTCTGTAGTGTAGGTGTCTGTAGTGAAGGTGTGGGGTGAAAACATGTGTAGTGAAAACATGTGTAGTGAAAATATGTGTAGTGAAGTGTGTGTGTAGTGAAGCTATGTGTAGTGAAGGCATGTGTAGTGAAGATGTGTGTAGTGAAAATGTGTGTAGTGAAGTTGTGTTTAGTGAAGTTATGTGTAGTGAAGTTGTCTGTAGTGAAGTTGTGTGTAGTGAAGGTGTCTGTAGTGAAGGTGTATGTAGTGATTTGTAGTGACGGTGTGTTTAGTGATTTGTAGTGAAAATGTGTGTAGTGAAGTTGTGTGTAGTAAAGTTATGTGTAGTGAAGGTGTCTGTAGTGAAGTTATCTGTAGTGAAGGCATGTGTAGTGAAGGTGTATGTAGTGAAACTATGTGTAGTGAAGTTGTCTGTAATGAAAGTGTCTGTAGTGAAGTGGTGTGTAGTGAAAATAGGTGTTTACATCTGAAAATAGACTGTTCTTGGTTGTTCACCTACAGGAATGAAATGCTGCTCAATTTGCAATCAGATTGCAGTACCAATCAGATGTATTGAAAGATGATGTAGAGATGAAATGTCCCTCCTTTGTGTTCTGCAGGGGGCTTTCTGGGGCCTGTTCCTGGGCCTGCTGGTGGGCGGTGTGAGGATGGCCCTAGACTTCATCTATCCCTCACCACTGTGTTACCAGGAGGACAGCAGGCCTGATGTGGTGAAACACGTCCACTACCTCTACTTCTCCACCATGCTGTCTCTGCTCACCCTGGTGGTGGTGGTGGGGGTCAGCCTGGCCACGGAGAAACCCAGCCCAGAGCAGGTGAGGTGAGGGGAGGGGAGGCTGGGGAGTGCAGAGGGACCAGAACTACAAAACAGAACTCAAAGACAGTATCTTGATTGTGATTGTGAATTGTGTATTTGAACAAATCAACCTATTGATTTCAACGACACTGTGATAAATTAAGAATTTGCATCTACAGTACTGTATAAATCAAATATAAACTTGAGATAGAAGGGGACAGTGTTTTCTAACTGTGAGCACGATATGGCCTGTTACTGTAGGCCTATCACTAACCGTTGCTGTGTTTGTGTTGTTGTTGCTACGGAACAGATCAGCCGCCTCACCTGGTTCACCAGATTTGATAAGGTGGAGAAGAGCAGTGGAGCTCTGGAGACAGTAGATACTGTGACTAGTGCTACAGAGACCAAGGAGAGTGCAGAGCAGGAGATAGAAGACAGAGAGCAGGAGAAGACTAACGGCGAGGCACACCTTCAGAGGAAAGGTGGGTAGTGTTGTCCCTTGTTAGGTAGTAGTAGGCTAATACTGGTAAGTTGCTTCAACAATTCTAAGGACCATGTTTCATACAATACTCACAATCCCAGTGCTTGAAGTGGACTGAAATAGGTGCCAGCACTTATTTTGGGTGCCAGTACTGTTTATATTTAGGTAGAGGAATATTTTTAAGCCAGTAATATTCTATAAGAGATGCTGGTACTCAAAATTGAGGCGCAAGTACTGGTGTGTTCCAGCCCAAGTCAAACACTGCCCATACACATATACCCACACTTCTCTCTCCCCAGACTCTGTCTCCTCAGTAGCCAGTGTGAGGAGCCAGTCCAGGCTAAAGGCCGCCCTCTACTGGCTGTGTGGGATGGAGAGGCAGAAGGAGGGTGACAGCGCTCCCCAACCCTCTCCTCTTCTCGACCCCGCTAGCTCTCTGGAAGAGGACCCATGCCTTAGCCACATGGTCGACGCCAACCTCATCATCTGCCTCGCCATCGCCGTCTTTATCATTGGCTACTGGGCCTAGTGAGGAATTCTCAACAGCCAATGATATTGGCAGGGACAGGTGGAGCTTGGCCATTGCTGCAGCCAATCGGCAAGCATCATAGGAGTGTCGCTGAGGTGTCACAGCAAAGGCTGTTATTTATTATTGTATAATAGCAATGTATAGTTTTGATTGGCAGTGTTTAAATGGGTGTGATGCCTCTCAATATGCTACATTTATTATAGTTCTTATTAATTGTATACATTCCACAGTTGTGGAAAAAGTACCCAATTGTCATACTTGAGTAAAAGTATAGATACCTTAATAGAAAGTTACTCAAGTAAAAGTGAAAGTCAGCCAGTAAAATACTACTTGAGTAAAAAAAAAAAAAATTTGGTTTTAAATATACAGTAGTCCCTCGTTTATCGCGGGGGTTACGTTCCGAAAATGACCCGCGATAAGTGAAATCCGCGAAATAGAAAACTTTTTTTTTTTTACAATTAGCAACTATTACATGTATACAAATACAGTGACTCACGTGTAGGCCGTTTCGTCGACATTATGGGTTTAGAAGATGTTCGAAATTACAAGATAATTTGGCCAACTTAATGTAAATTTGCCAAGCTGTTTTATGTACGTACACATAACTGCACGAGACGACAAAATGATAGCACAATTCGTAGCATGTTTTGATACAAGAAGCGGGAGTGAGTTTTTAGCGAATCAGAATGCAGAGCACAATGCACCAAAAAAAAAAAAAAAATGCATTATGAAAATCCGCGAAATAGCGAATCCGCGATAAGTGAACCGCGAAGTGGCGAGGGATCACTGTACTTAAGTATCAAATGTAAAAGTATATAAATCATTTCAAATTCCTATTATTTAGCAAAGCAGACGGCACAATTGTCTTGTGTTTTAAAATTTCGAATAGCCAGGGGCACACTCCAACACTCAGACATTATTTACAAAAGATGCATTTGTGTTCAGTGAGTCCGCCAGATCAGAGGCAGTAGGGATGACCACGTGTTCTCTTGATAAGTGTGTGAATTTGACTATTTTCCTGTCCTGCTAAGTATTCAAAATGTAATGAGTACATTTGGTTGTCAGGGAAAATGTATGGAGTAAAAAGTACAATATTTTCTTTAGGAATGTAGTGAAGTAAAAGTAAAATTTTTCAAAATATAAATAGTAAAGTAAAGTACAGATACCCCAAAAAACTACTTAAGTAGTACTTTAAAGTATTTTTACTTAAGTACTTTACACCACTGACATAACATTAGATTAGAATATACAGTACAAATTCAGTGTACATACCAGTATAAATTCAGTATTAAACTGACATGAATAAACATGGAATATTACTGTTTTAATTCATGTTTTGTTTTCTTTATTTGGAGTAATAATACCAAAAACTATTTTCCTTTAATATGAACAAACAGAGGAAGATCCATTCACTCATTATCGAAAATCTTTGTTCATCTTCAGGTTGAAAAGACACTCATGAGCAGAAATAAAGCGACGCAAATCACATTCAAAACGTACAATGTAATTTAAAAAAAGGCAATAATCAAAGGCATAGTGAGAAGCCAAGTTTCCCACTAAAGATTGTCAACATAATATCCTGAATTTGAATAATAATCATAAAATAAAACCTGGGCTATTGTTCTGTTGGGTTGTTGCTTGTCCATTTCCTGAGCTAAATTAATCAAAACGGATATCAAAACAAATCCAATAATTTCTCAAATAAAAGTTATATGTGGCAGGGAATGTCCAATCTATCCCTTTTCTTATATAACTTTTCTTTTAAAAAGGGGAATCTGTGATTGGTATACACATTTTTGGCGGGGGTGACCGTTTTGTTTGAATTCCAAATTGCCCCTTTAATGTCACAGCTCTGTTCAATAATTTATCACATGGTTTGATTGGGGTTGAATAAAACACAGTCCTATAGTATATTAAGGTGAGACAGGTTAAAAACAACATCAACAAATGAAACAGGGTGAATATTGGGAGTGGAGAAGGCACCATATGAAATGAATGCAGTTACTTAAATTGCACTCCTCACTGATATTTCTTTGGTCCTTGGCAACCATTTAATAAAACATTTATGTTATAAACACAAAGCAGCACACTCACCAAATTTTATTATTAATCAACTGGCATCTTTGGTCCTTGAGAGCTCCTGTCAAATCAAGTATGGCAATTTGTAGGATTTATTTGGCTCACCATGTATATTGGCTCATCAATAGTCTTTAAGCACTTTCTGCATGACATTTTTATTATTTGGCCCATTAAAAACCATTTTTAAAAGTTCTCAACGGGGGAAAATTGCAGTTTTGTAGACAATCTTAGGTAATACATTGAGGACATGTATACAAATTAGCAATTTCCATTCAAAAAACATTCCTACAACCACCATACAATGCACCACAGGGAAGAATGTTGCATAATACAAAAATACTAGTTCTCAGCTTTTAGGTTTACAAGCTTAGCCTCCCACCCCACCCCCATTCAATGTCAACATTCTACAATGGATCCAAAGATCAACAATGAAACAGTATATTCAGATTTGCATCGGATGCCTCCAGGTACTGGGTCATAACATTACAGCTTCGCCAGCATTGGAGTTCAGTGGTTATATATACAGTACCATTTCAAAAGTTTGGACACACCTACTCCTTCAAGGGTTTTCTTTATTTTTACTATTTTCTACATTGTAAAATAATAGTGAAGACATCAAAACTATGAAATAACACATATGGAATCATGTAGTAACCAAAAAAAGTGTTAAACAAATCAGAATATACACTTAACCAGCATGGCTACCACAGCATTCTGCAGCGATACGCCATCCCATGTGGTTTGCGCTTAGTGGGACTATCATTTGTTTTTCAACTGGACATTGACCCAACACACCTCCAGGCCGTGTAAGGGCTATTTGACCAAGAAGGAGAGTGATGGAGTGCTGCATCAGATGACCTGGCCTCCACAATCACCCGACCTCAACCCAATTGAGATGGTTTGGGATGAGTTGGACCGCAGAGTGAAGGAAAAGCAGCCAACAAGTGCTCAGCATATGTGGGAACTCCTTCAAGACTGTTGGAAAAGCATTCCAGGTGAAGCTGGTTGAGAGAATGCCAAGAGTGTGCAAAGCTGTCATCAAGGCAAAGGGTGGCTACTTTGAAGAATCTAAAATATATTTTGATTTGTTTAACACTTTTTTGGTCACTACATGATTCCATATGTGTTATTTCATAGTTTTGATGTGATGTGTTATTTCATAGTTCTGATGTCTTCACTATTATTCTACAATGTAGAAAATAGTCAAAATCAAGAAAAACCCTGGAATGAGTAGGTGTGTCCAAACTTTTGACTGGTACTGTATATATATTGTCCAGTCCCAGTACAGGCTTGGGTGATTCAATAGAAAGCTACAGTGGCATCTCTAGCTGCAGGCCAAGTTCCTATCATATTTAGCAGGTTGAAGGTTCAATGAACATGGGGTGATCCTGTGGTCCAGTTCCAGCACTGTTCAGGGTTGATGGTTTATGGATATGGATGGAAGGGCGTTAGTGTGGTCTAGTATTGAGGGTGGTGGGTGCTAACAGTGTTGCATTTGGATTATGTAGTATGAGAAGGTTGTCTAGTCCCTGTATTGCTGTAGAGAGTAATGTTGGCTAGGGGTTGTTTGTTCAAGACAGTATTGCTCACTGGATTGATGGTCCAGTCTGTTGAGGCTCAGAGCTGACTCTGACTACGGCAATTGGCTGAATGGCTAGCATATTGACCAATTGGGCAGAGGCAGAATGTTCTTTTGGTGATGTCAGTTGGAGTGATCCCTCCCGCTTTCACAGAATGGTGCTCTCTAATTGGATCTCAGGGTCCGAGGGTGGGGTTGGAGAGGGGGCGGGCTCGTGACCAGCAGAGCTCTCCCCTTGTATGTCCACCGTAATTTCAGGGATAAGGGCTCGGCCAATCCCCTTCAAGTTCAGGCTGGGATCTACAGAAGACATTTAGATTGACAGGTAAGTGATCAATCAGGCAAAACACAGCCTACTAGGGTTGGGATGAATTCCATTTGAATTCAGGTAATTCCAGTTCAAGAATTGAGAAGTGCTATTTATTAGCAAATTCAGGGTATAAATGAAAATTCCAGTTCAAAAAAGTGCCATTTATTGTTTTCAATTAGGATTTTTCAATTTCCGTTCACTTCCTGAGTTGATGGAATTGACCCTAACCCTGTAGTACACCACTATCAGTCTGCAGCAAGATGCTCTACAGAACAGACAGAGACACACATCCCCTAGTGTCACCGAACAGACCATATCCACATCAGACACCTCAAACCTAAGGAAAACACACAAACTCTGCGTACTGGAGAAAAGACACCAAGGATTTGTCACAATGTTAAAAAATAAATAATAATAATAATAATACAAAAGGACATTAATTTGACTATGACAGGGAAGTTGAATGCCACTTTCTAGTCACAGTTCGTACATTTTACGATGTGGGAAATCTGATTTCAATAACAGAGTGGCTTGGAGAGTATCCCTGGTGTGTTACTCTGAAATGCTATAATTGCATCACCTGGGTTCTAGAATGCTTCAAAGAAATGAAGCTAAATCCAGTAATTTAGAAGGTCTGGACATGAATGTTTAAATATATCATAACTCTTTGCTTTTATGCAGATTAATTCTAAACTTCATGTCCAGACCTTCTATTATTTGACCTAGAGATTAAATAGATGAGTAGATGAGTACCGACTGGACCATCAGTATCAGACTGGACCATCAGTATCAGACTGAACCATCAGTATCAGACTGGACCATCAGTATCAGACTGGACCATCTCTTGGACTATCCCAGGGGTGTTAAGAGTGGTTAGTTAACAAGGGTAGGTGTAAGTAGCCTGTAGCCATTCAACCACAGCCATGGCACAATGGGGTGGGAATCACATGTATGTTATTTACTATTGGCAGGCAGGGTTAATGCATTGGGCTCAACCATACTATACACACACACACACACACACACACACACGCATGTGCAGCATGCATGCATGCACACAAGCACATACGCAGGCAGACGCGCACACATGCAGACAAACACACAAGCACGTACGCACACACACGGAGAAGCAAGGGGCAGCAACTCAGAGCATCAGCCAATCATATCCTTACCATTACCTGCCTCTCAATCTCAGCTCACAGGCAGGGCGGCAGCTCACACATCTGCAATATTCCAATATTTACCCATCATGCATTTTATATTAAATCACCACAATTACAGTGTATGGTGTGCGTGAGGCAATACTAAAGGCAGTGAGACCAGAATCCAAGTGAACCCTTCATTGTTGCATTTCTCTCTCTGTGAAAGTCCTGATGAAATCACACAATGCTCGATTAGCTAGCATTGTCAGCAGCATATGATTTCATTGGCAGTTGGACAATAAACTGTGTCTGTTAATACAGTAGGAAGACTTCCTGTTGTGTTTGCTTTGTGTCACTGTATAATATCTAATACATTTGTGCTTAAACTTTTGATGTAGTGCTTTATGTGTAACTATGTCTGAAACAGACTTAGCCAGAGCTTGAAAAAAAGATTCTCAAAATGTCCTTCTGGGCCAAAGAAAGGATGCATACATTACATGCAGTATAATATAATATTAGTAGAACACATGTAATTGATAATCAACACATTGTCACCTTAGGGACTAAATGAATGCTGTTAGGACAGGCCCAGAGAAAGTATTGTACACAGAGACAAATTCCTGTCTACATTGTTGAATAGCAATAATGTTTTTTTCTGATTTGGACATATAATGGAATGTTTGGCAAACAAGAACATTTCCATTACTGCAGGATGTGTGTGTGTGTGTGGAAATAGGGCCAACAATACATCAGTATGTGCTACTGCAATACTGTGTGTGAGTCAGCCAGGGAGCCTCCTGCTCTGCTTGGAACCTTGAGAGAATTCCTACCAGGAAAACAAACTCCTCTGTTGAGTTGGGTTTCCAGCTCTGATTATTATGGGAAGCTAACGAAGGAGCTGATTGGTGAACAATACACTGAAACTCTATCCTTATTTTAGTCATCCTTCTGTCCTTCCTTTCTCTGGATGCATTTTCTTTTTCTCAGAACTGCTTAGACTGTGTGTGTCATACCTTCCAGAGATGTCCTTTCTCACCAGAGAGAAAGGATATGGGCTATGACTCTATTAGCTATGACACACATACAGCACATATTGAGAGCTGGATTGAGTCCTCTGTTGTAAGGTATACTGGCCAACTAGCTTACCCAAGTAACACAAGTAAGTTTGTGTCATGACAGTTTAATATCCGGTATACAACTAAGTCATGAGTAGTTTGGATTGGGAAAGGATGGACGGTAACTTTACCGGTGATGACTTTGGAGGCGGAGCCGCAGGTCCCGTTGCTGTCGTCATTGGCGGGCGGCTGAGGGGGCGGGGGAACGTTAGGTCGGGGGCGTGGCTTCGGGGCCGGCCTGGTGGGGCGAGGGAGGGAGCCAGAGTGGAAGGAGGAGAGGGGGGTGAAGGGGGTGGAGGTTGGACCATCGTGAGGAGGGGTGCTAGGGGGTGTGGGAGTGTGGGGCGGAGAGGGGTCTGACTCCCCCTGAGACTGGGGGGCTTGTGGGGGCTGTGGGGGTGGGTGGCTGGGGGCGTGGATGGGGGTTTCTTTAACAGAGTGGTGTCGTGGGGTGATGAGGGGGTAGGGGTTGTTAGATGCAGGACTGTGGCCAGGGGTGTGGCCAGGGGTGGAGGCATTAGCTACAAAGGGGTTGGCCCGTTTGGGTGGGGCAGGGGCCTGCTTCTTAGTACCTGGGGAAGACACAGTAAAACCATGGATTTAAACTATGAAATCACACTGATCAAAGCACTGAAAAGTATGTGAGATATAAAGGTCTGAGCATTCTGTCTGATTTGATTGATGCTATTGTGGTCCTCTGTAGCTCAGTTGGTAGAGCATGGTGCTTGCAACGCAAGGATAGTGGGTTCGATTCCCGGCACCACCCATGTATGTATACATGACTAAGTTGTTATGGATAAAAGTGTCTACTAAATGGGATATACTATACTATTTGAAGTACATTGTGAGTTGTGTCAGTCTCTTCAGTGGAAACTTGTAGAGAGGTGTGGTTGAGTGGTCAGGGTGCGTTGTCTCACCTCTGCGCACAATGTGGGGGCTGGGACCCCTGCATCCTGCCTGGGAGTGGGGCGTCCCCATGGTGAGCTGGGAGCCCCCGTTCCTCAGAGGAGGGGGGGTGGGGCCAGGGCTGTAAAGATAGAGGACAGGACAAACCCACTGTCACGTTCACCCATCAGTCTACAAGCCAGGTCTCAACGCAAGTGATCACATGCAAAAACTGCATCACATGTCAGGGTTAGTCACTTCCTTGGCAATCATGTATAAGGACAGTTAGCCAGTTACATGAGTCAAATCATAACATGGAAAGATTAAAGACAATCACGTCTCTCAAATCACGGTGCGTTTCCAACTGACACAAAACACTACAGGAAGTTCATTCGAGTTCAGGAAGTTCATTCAAGGAAACTAATTACAGTTGCACATGCATTGAGGATAACCAGAGCAGGAGTACCAATCCTGCTTGGGATGATGCCAGCATGGTAAAGCCATAGGGCTGTGACTCAGAAGAATCAAGAGTTTGGGACGATCACATGAAACACCTAGGCAGGCTTGGGGGAGGGCTGACCAACAGACAAATATTCAGGAAGGCAGACACTTGAGGGAGCAGGACAATAGACAAGCTGCTTCCTGGATCACTAGGAGAGGCCTTTCAACAAACAGCTAAATCATTGGCTTTGGGACATCGGTTTGATTTACAGTGTACTTGATTACAACACATAGGCAGTATCAGCCTGCATAAAACATATATGGGACAACCAATGACAGAGTGAGTAGCTGTAGGTTGATCAATCAGGATCGACAGCAGGGTGGCGTGCAGCCTTCTGATTTCTGATTGGTGACAGGCGGGGAGGGACTCAGTCTCTACTTCCTCCTTACCTGCTCTCCTCAGCGCTGTGCTGGGTAAGAAGCAGAGGCTGTTGCCCTGGGGCCACCTGGGCCTCTGGTACCCCACCCTGACCTTGACCCCCAGCCAGGCCAGGTTGGCCAGCCTCTGTACTCCCACCCAGAGTTTGCTCCTGGGTCTGGGGCTCAGCCACAGGCTGGGTCTGGGGGACCCCTCCAGCCTCCGGCGGTGGTAGAGGGGGCTGGAAGGCGGGCGAAGAGGCATGATGGTGCTGTTTTCTATTTAGAGTGGCAGCTCTACGTGGGATGGGGGTGGGGTTGGGGGTATGGTCACCCAGTTTGTTAGGAGCGGGGCTATACAGGGGGGAGAGGGGAGAGAGTGAGGGGTGAGGACACACCAATGACAGCATCAGAGAGGGGAGAGACAGAGAGAGAGAGAGAGAGTATGAGAGACAGGGACTGATACAGAAACAGAAAAAGAAAGACAGTTAAAAGAGAGACCACTCCACAGAGAGAGAGAAGAATGAGGTATTAACCAAAGGCCTTTACTGAAACGGAGTATCACATGATTCTAGTTCAAGTGACCTTCGAACTAGTGAACTTTGAGCTCCTGCCGTTTCTTACAGCGAGAGTATAGATAGATGCCATGACAACAGAATAGAGTGACACAAAACATACAACCAGTAACCTAAAACCTAGGCTTTAATAGAGAGTGGCATATAGGATGTTCAAAGTGTTAAACATTGTTTTGTGACACAGCTTGATAAAAGTGTGATTCAAGACAAGTGAGAGTTAATCCTTATATCTCCTGAAACATGTGTTAATTTAAGAACAATTCTTAGTGAGAAAGTGTGGTTATTCATCACGTTCACCACTGTCCTCGGTTTAAACACATTTTATTGGTTCCTTTCTACAATCATCTTACATATCGGCAATACTGTAGTGTCAAAACACACACAAACACATTGGAATTGGAATGGACTTTCAGAAACTGGGATTCTGGATTCACAAACTGTCTCCTAGTGTATAGGTTGGACTTCGTTAAGAAGGCAGTGGCATCGGCTGTTCCTGCTCCCCAGCGGGCGTTTCTTTGACCGTGATGGACTCGTCAGCCACTACATAGAGGGCTGAGACGGCTGCTGCCCCCCTGGACTCCTGCCTGGTCAGTGTCCGGGGATGGGGGATGAGACCTGGGCTGGGACGGGGGTTGCTACGGGGGTAGGACAGGTACCTGTCTTTGCGGGGACTGTCCCCGTCCACCAGGCTGCTGGGGTGTCGCCTCTCGAAAGGTCCCGGGTCAGGTTCAGGGGTCATGGCCACGAACATGCCCGACACGTTGAAGTCCACGTCTGATGAGAAGTGAAACACAGAGAGGTCAGCAAGCAAGACAAAGGGCATTTCCCGTTCTATGTCACGTGAGGAGTAACTTAGGAGTAACATAGTCACTTAGATAAAGACTTTCTGTAACACAATCCCTTCCCAGGTACAAGTAGAGGTCGCTTACCATCTGGGAAGAACCAGTCAGCGTGCTGGATGATGGGTTCTATGATGGCCACCACATGGACAGAGGTAGCAGCAGCCATCTCTGCCAGAGTCCTGAGGATACAGGGAGAGAGAGAGAGAGATCAATGAAACATCAAGCAAAATCTGTTGTTAGGAAATTAACTACTGTATCTATGTACTGTACAACACTATTCATGCTAATTATTGAACTCAAATGCAAGGGATGGATTTGTAGAAAAAATAAGGCAGGAAGCGTTGCTAAGGTACACAATAGTAGGTTTCTGTAGACAGAAGGTAGTCTTTGGTAAAAGGGGTAAATGGGTCATCACAAAGAAAGGAGGACCAAGGCTCTCTTCATATAATTAATTAAAATGCCTTTATTGGTATGGCATGTTCAATGGAAACAAAGATTTGAAATGTGTTATCTTTGTTTCCATTGAACATGCCATACAAATAAAGGAATTTGTATTAATTCAATGAAGAGTGCCTTGGTCCTTTCTTTTTGATGCATGGGATGGATGTTGTATATCCTCCTCAGTGTACTGCTCACCCCTCAGTCTTGGACCAGAGCAGGTTGGGTCCCAGCACTATGGCGATGTTACTGGGAGTCATCTTATTCACCTCACTGTCCTGGGCCAGCTTGGCTAGGAACTTTACCAGATACCTGCAAACAAAATCCCAAAGGGGGAATGAACCATTGACCTTCTGTGCATCTCATAAATAAATCACTTCTGGGAGCATATCATTGGAGTGGTGGACGTTTAAATGTTTCCAGCATGACACTCACCTGAAGTTGGCCTTGTGGTTCTTTGGCAAACCGTCACACGCCACCCACAAAGCTTGAAGCCTCCTGTCTGTGTCAGACACACTGTACAACACAACATTACATACACAAATAAGATGGTACAATGTTTCACAGTCTCTATAATAAACACCTGTTGGGTTTGGGTCGTATTCATTAGGGCACACCATAGCAAAACGCTTTGCAACAGAAAACCAAAATGAGCATTTCTTATTGGCCAATTCAGGTAGTACCTCCACGTTTCGGTCTGTTTTCTTCAGTTTTGTGCCTATTGAATACGACCATGACAGTGAATCAATGTGTACACAGGTGGATATGTGGTATTATTACTTGGAGGCTTGTGTCCACTCGTCATACAGTGCGAAGGTCATAAGGGGTTCAGGCAGCTCTCTGAGGTAAGACTTCAGAGCTCCTGGACAGAGACAGGGACAACACAACCACAAACATGGTGCATTATAGTACATGAACTGAATGGGGTTCAATTGTGCTTTTCGAAGTAGTGGGACTGTCCACCTAAAATACATGATAATTTTCAACTGAAATATACACCATTCCCACTGGACTGAATACGCTCTCAAATCCAAAGACTGCAGTTTGTATTGTCTTCCCCTCCGCACCTCCAAATTCAACCCCTGCATAGACTATTGAGAGTCAAGGGGAACGAAAACAACTTTACTGAGTGATGTAAGGGAAATGGGTCATACCAGCTACAGCATGGGGGTCAGAGTAAAACTCCTCTAACTGGGAGGTGGAACAGTCCAGCGCTGCCTTCAGCTTCTTTAGTTTGGAGGCCCCAGCAGCGATTCGGAACAGACCCTGAGAAGAGAGAGATACATTATTAAAGTTTGTAAATGGTTTTGTCTTCATAGCAAATGAGAACTGGTTCTCAACAAACTAACCATGGTTAGATACAAATATAAATGATAAAAAATGCCCATTTGAATTGAACTGAGAAGCTCTTTGAGGGGGAAATGGATGTCTGCTTTCTGTTCTAATATTAGAGAAGGCCGTCTGGTCTGGTATGACTGAGACAAGGAGAAGGAAGGAGGGAGAAAATAGATACCATCATTTCACATCTATAGAGATACGATTCTTTGAGGTTGAGGTTGTCTGTAAAAAATAAAAAATAAAGTGTTACAGTTGAAAGCTTCCCTCCAAGGCACGAGGCTGGCTAACCAACCAAAGAACCAGACCACAGATGTCATCAGTACTAGACTGCAGGCTCTTACTCAGCATGTCTGTGAAATGGCAATTGTCTAGTCTTCTGTCTGTAACAGTAACATGTTGGTAGTTTGCTACATATTAGATATGGATAGGGTGACTTACCCTCAATAACTAGTAGTGCATTGAGACCTAGTGAGAAGCACTATAAAAACGCTAGCCCAGGGTTCCCCAACTGGCGGCCGGTGGGCCAAATTATTTTAATTGTCCCCCCAAGTTTTTTGTTGGACATAAAAGACTGTAAAAACACCAGGAAATCAGCTCCAAGTGCTTTTAATTTTGGAAGTCTGTTCCAAAGTATTCCCACGCATAATAGAGAGCTATACTGTATTTGATCATATACAAATGTAAGGAAGGTTTGAAATTATTATGTTTTAGTCAAATATTATATCTATTTGGGCTTATTGCGGTCAATTTGAAGTGTACAAATTATTTGTAATTATGTTCTGGCCCCCTGAACATCCACTCAAGAAAAACTCTAGTTGATGATCCCTGCGCTAGTCCATTCTTTTCACCATCATCATCATGGTGATGGTTACCTCCTCCTTCATGCCAGTCTCCAGCAGCATCATGACACAGGCCTCTAAGGGCAGGGCGATCTCACGGTTACTCCTCTTCAGGTGCTCTTCCAGAGCCGTGCCGTACGCAGGCTTCTCCATCCACGAGTCTGTACACAGGGCACAAAATGGCCGCTGGCGTAGGTCAGTTTCATTATCATGAACAGTATGTGAGGAAACAGAGATTCTGTTCTGACTGCTAGGTTATTCCTGTCATTTTAGAGTACGACTAACAGATTAACCGATTGCTCACTAATAACCAACTTCATCTTAGCACATGTAATTAATTTATCTGATCCAGAGTGAGACCAGGGCCTCTATTCAAAAAGCGCTCAGAATAGGACTGCTGATCAAGGATCTGTTTAGCCTTTTAGTTCATAATGAATCAGCTTTATATGGACAGGAGAGATTACGGGTCCAGATGTGACTGTAGATGTTTTTAAGACAATAGAGCCGTTTTCACTCAAATCAAATTGAACCTGATTCAATCCAATTCCTATTTCATTAAGTCCGAGAAAGACTGCTCATTAGCACCGCTTTGTTTTACTGCTAAGGCAATGAAGTGCCAAGACTTAACAAACTGACGTCAGTTATGTCACTTGAGATTTTCTATTTTTATAACAAACCTTTACCAGACTCCGTTTCCTACTTAACATTACATGAATAGTTGGCTGTGCTTTGTGAATACTGGCTTTGAAATGAAAGAGACTGTTGATTAGAGGTAAAACATATCTGACCAAGGTGATGCAGTCAGAACATTCATTGCATGCAGTGAGAAAGCATTATGAATCAACATTCAGTTTAATTTATTATTATTATTTGATTTTTTACCTTAGTCTCTTGAGCATATTAATTGAAATGTGCATTCTTTTATCAAGAAAATTGTGTTAACAGGTTTTGATTCATTAAGGTTTCCTTTACCTTTCTGTGCCTGTATGGTCGGCAGGACTCCTTCCAGAGCAGCCAGAGACCTCCTGTGGTAGTCGGCCTGGGCCTCTACCAACTGAAACACATTCACATGGCATCACACACATTCACATGGTATCACACACATTCACATGGTATCACACACATTCACATGGTATCACACACATTCACATGGTATCACACACATTCACATGGTATCACACACATTCACATGGTATCACACACATTCACATGGCATCACACACATTTACATGGTATCACACACATTCACATGGCATCACACATATTTACATGGTATCACACACATTCACATGGTATCACACACATTTACATGGTATCACACACATTCACATGGTATAATAATAATAAATAATATCACACACATTCACATGGCATCACACACATTTACATGGTATCACACACATTCACATGGTATCAAACACATTTACATGGTATCACACACATTCAATGGCATCACACACATTCACATGGTATCACACACATTCACATGGCATCAAACACATTCACATGGTATCACACACATTCACATGGTATCACACACATTTATATTGTATCACGTATTGTGCCTTCAATTTATTCCAAATGCCACACCTTAAATTCCCTGTGGGACAAGAACGTTATTCAATCCAATACTACCCCACTCTTAACATAACATTTCAACTCATGAGATATTGTGGGTCAAATGTGATCTGAATGAAATGATGATGATGATGAGCTTATGATATAGTCAGGATGAAGAATACTCACAATGACATAGTAGCGGGCGTAGTTTCCCTCCTTGGAGGAGAAGTTATACATGTCAGCAGACAGCTGGTCCTTAGGAAGGAAGACGTGAACATTAGCATTTTGTCCCTCCAAATGTGGTGTAGACTTCAATTTTCAACCCGCTTTTTACCCAATCACCCAGTGAAATATGCATTAATAATATTGTTGCATATGGACTTGAGCCCATTTTAATATAATTGTAAAATGAGCCTAGCAGTAGTAATTATTGTGCCATGGGTTAGATGGAATAATCTATGTCCATTGTATTTGGGCAGAGGGAAAGTACAAAGGGCCTGTCTCTGAGGGCAAGAATGCTTCCATAAGGGTTGAATAGGAGACAATTGTTTGGAGTTAGAGCTGGTAGATCGTAATTACTGTTCTATAACACTGTCTAATATCTTTACTGTTTTATACCACTATATCCTTTTAATATGAGGATACAGCATATATATATTCTTAGGGATGAAAAGTAGTGTTAGGTTTAAGCTCTTTGTGTATGAGAAGAGTAATTATCTAGTGGACCGCGGTAGACTGCAAGAATGTGCACTCCCTATAACTGAAGGCCTCTCCTGACTGATAAGAAGTCCTGTGAGAGGCGTGGAGGAGTACCGGACTCAAGCTGGGTCGATAACACCACCTGCCCAGCCCAGGGGGTTCTGTTTGGGAAGGGGGGCCTAGTCGGAGGTTATAGATATATGTGCTTGTGAAGTTGTATCTTGTCTTGAAGCTGCAACACCCAGTGTGGTTAATAAATCTAGCCTGAGCTTTCTTTGGTATCTGTCTGGATTATTGAACCAGAACTTAGAACCTAACAATATGAATAGCATGTATAGGTAACTGACAGCACAGTCACAACCCTTTAATAACATAGCCCTAATAACATGTATGTCAGGCTCTGTCACAATAACCCTCTGTTCAGCCAGGTCATCAGATATGATCCTGTCATGATTAAGAAGCCTTAGCTGGAATGTGCCGCCATTTTTCAAATTTACCTTCAGTCATTAGAGCAGGAAGGTATTCCCAACTTCCCAAGGTCATCTAGGAATACTGGGAATACCAGGTGTGTGCTCTCATGCTGCCCTGTACTGTCCCTAGACTTCCCTTTTTACTGAGAGGTTTTTCATAGTGCTGGAAACCTGCAAAATGCCCTGGAAACCTGTTTCTACCACTTTGCCCACCAATTACATCCTCTGTTGTATGTGCACATTTGGTGCCAATATATATATATCATTCTCCCTTAAATGATAAATAATATAAGTTCAATACGCTATAAAATTGAACATTTCAGCGGAGACACTTGATATGGCGAATCAATCTGTAAAAACCACTACCTACTTTGCACATCTCCACTTTGTTCAGGGCCTCGTCCATCTCGTCTTTGAGAGTCTCAGCCTTGGCGGCCGTGGCCTGGTTGTTGGTGGAAAAGTGAATAGACTTGCTTGCCTGCGACCACCTGGAGCAAAAAAATATATATTATGGAGATTTGGAACTTTGTCTCATCTACGTGTGCACATAGAGTCAAATCTTAACTTGAAAAATGCACATACAATGTGTATTTGGCATAGCCTTATGATTGGGGTTCTAGTCCAGTACCTGGCTCTGGGGTTCAATCCAGAACCTGGCTCTGGGGTTCTAGTCCAGTACCTGGCTCTGGGGTTCTAGTACAGTACCTGGCTCTGGGGTTCTAGTACAGTACCTGGCTCTGGGGTTCTATTACAGTACCTGGCTCTGGGGTTCTAGTCCAGTACCTGGCTCTGGGGTTCTAGTCCAGTACCTGGCTCTGGGGTTCTAGTCCAGTACCTGACTCTGGGGTTGTAGTACAGTACCTGGCTCTGGGGTTCTATTCGAGTACCTGGCTCTGGGGTTCTAGTCCAGTACCTGGCTCTGGGGTTCTAGTCCAGTACCTGGCTCTGGGGTTCTAGTCCAGTACCTGGCTCTGGGGTTGTAGTACAGTACCTGGCTCTGGGGTTCTAGTCCAGTACCTGGCTCTGGGGTTCTATTGCAGTACCTGGCTCTGGGGTTCTAGTCCAGTACCTGGCTCTGGGGTTCTAGTCCAGTACCTGGCTCTGGGGTTCTAGTCCAGTACCTGGCTCTGGGGTTGTAGTACAGTACCTGGCTCTGGCTGAGTCATAGTCTAGGACTAGCTTAGCCAGCTGTTTCCTCTGTTTCAGGATGTTGGGAATGTCCACCTGGGCAGGTATGGGAGTAACACGTTTTATTGTAGTGAAAACATGTATTATGTAGTAAAACAGTACTGTATTAAAACAGAAGCAAGGTGAAATGACCTTGGGATCTGTATTACTTGATCACCATTGACATGCTCAGTGTTATCAATGCCAGGATAAGATATGGAGAGTGTTGGTGGTCACCTCTGCTAGCTGGTTGAGAGGTTCCAGGATCTCTCTCTCTAGCTGGACCTCGTGTTGCATCAGCTCAGACGCTAGTCTGTTCTCTGCCTCCCCACACACATCCATCATCTTACTGCCAACACACACACACACACACACACACACACACACACACACACACACACAGAGAGATATAGAGAAAGACACACAGACACACACAGAGACATGCATGCACACAAGCACACGTAAACACACACATATACACAGATAAACAGAGAGAAAGAGGACAGAGAGAGAGAGACAACGTTATCACTGCATTATCATTCCTAAAGCTGAGAGTAATAGGTACTGTAGGAATACCACAAACACATTAAAGGCCTTTTAAGCATCCATATCCATCCCTGTATAACTCTCACTAGCTTAGTCCTGGGATCTGTTCATATTCTGTGCTTATGGACTAACTTTCTCAACGGAATATTTCTGAATCTGCATGTTCAACATGTCCAAACAATAGATATCATTGGCTGGTTTCCCAAATACAGATGTAGCCTAGTCTTGGACTGAGAAGCATGGAGGATCTCCATTGTACCTGGGAAACCGGCCCCATATACGTCTGCAGTCATTGCTCCACACTCACCCAATCAGTGTTTCCTCCCCCAGCTGGCTTCCTCCATCCTGCATGGCCTGGGACAGCGCTGACAGAGGGAGCTTTTTCTGTGGCAGGAAACACAAGGCATCATGGGATTTGTAGTTAAATTGCTCAACACAAGACATGTTACTGTATCATCTTTCATCTCGGACACCTAGAACAAAAATATTGTGTAATGCGTCAGATGCTCTATTAACTTCTGTAGGGATACATGTTTGTACTAATGAGACTAGTGAAGTGAACACGCCTCTAAACAGAAACTCTCAGCCGTACCTGTCCATGAGATATTTTATCATCTTAGGTCTTCTGAAGAACCATGAGTAGCTGTCTTTCTCAAGTCAAAGCAAAAATGTTGGACGATAAAAAAATTATGTTTCGAACACGAGATAAGAGGACAATTCTGGAGTGAAAGTAATGACAGTGAATTGACAGTCATATCAGTAATGTTGCATCACTGGGGCGGGTCTGGCTAACAGTATTTTGGAAAGATAGTGGAGGGTTTGGAGAGAGGCCTACTTCACATGTCTGTCCACTGAGTCTATCCTCTGTTATTTCGTGAGAGATGTTGTGTTGTGATTGCAGAGGAGAGAGAACATTGCTAACATCACTCATTGCGATGATGTCTAACTTGTCTCAGTCTCCTTTCTCTAGTGCTCCAAACCTAACTTGAAATAACTCAAATTACAGTAATTGCACATCTTTCATTGACATTAGTATGTGGTTAACGTGGATGTCTGAGTTAGAGGTAAGAGCTGTTCACAACACATCTCCCTGAGAAGAGGAGAGGGTGAGAAGGAGAGATAGAAGAGGAGATGGTGAGAAGGAGAGATAGAAGAGGAGATGGTGAGAAGGAGAGATAGAAGAGGAGATGGTGAGAAGGAGAGATAGAAGAGGAGATGGTGAGAAGGAGAGATAGAAGAGGAGATGGTGAGAAGGAGAGATATGAAGAGGAGATGGTGAGAGGAGAGATAGAAGAGGAGATGGTGAGAAGGAGAGATAGAAGAGGAGATGGTGAGAAGGAGAGATAGAAGAGGAGATGTGAGAAGGATGATAGAAGAGGAGAGGGTGAGGAAGGAGAGATAGTAAGAGGAGATGGGGAGAAGAGAGATAGGAAGAGGAGAGGGTGAGAAGGAGGATAGAAGAGGAGATGGTCTGAGAAGGAGAGATAGAGAGGAGAGGGTGAGAAGGAGAGATAGAAGAGGAGAGGGTGAGGTAGGAGTGATAGAAGAGGAGAGGGTAGAGAAGGAGAGATAGAAGAGGAGAGGGGAGAAGGAGAGATAGAAGAGGAGAGGGTGAGAAGGAGAGATAGAAGAGGAGAGGTGAGAAGGAGTGATAGAAGAGGAGAGGGTGAGAAGGAGAGATAGAAGAGGAGAGGGTGAGAAGGAGAGATAGAAGAGGAGAGGGTGAGAAGGAGAGATAGAAGAGGAGAGGGTGAGAAGGAGTGATAGAAGAGGAGAGGTGAGTAGGAGAGATAGAAGAGGAGAGGTAGAGAAGGAGAGATAGAAGAGGAGAGGTAGAGAAGGAGAGATAGAAGAGGAGAGGTAGAGAAGAGGATAGAAGAGGAGAGGGTGAGAAGGAGAGATAGAAGAGGAGAGGGTGAGAAGGAGAATAGAAGAGGAGAGGTAGAGAGGAGTGGAGGTAGAAGAGGAAGAGGGTAGAGGAGGAGAGATAGAAGAGGAGAGGGTGAGAAGGAGAGATAGAAGAGGAGAGTAGAGAAGGAGAGATAGAAGAGGAGAGGGTGAGAAGGAGTGATAGAAGAGGAGAGGGTGAGAAGGAGAGATAGAAGAGGAGAGGGTGAGAAGGAGAGATAGAAGAGGATGAGGAGGTAGAGAAGGAGATTGTCCTTACGTGTCTCTTTTCTGCGTCTGTTCCGATGTGACCCTGTAGACAGGTGACCAGTCTCTTGTGTGCGTTGTGGGACACTAGACGGACCAGCTCCATGCGCCTCTCAATCTGCAATCACACATACACACTCATGATGGTGGGCAGGTCAGAAGAAACACAAATGAACATAAGCAAAAACACACTCACACTCCATCACAAAACACATAATAGAATGGTACCGCAATATAGTCTTTCTCTATATCAGTGCTCTCCAACCCTGTTCCTGGAGAGCTACCCTCCTGTAGGTTTAAACTCCAACCCTGTTCCTGGAGAGCCACCCTCCTGTAGATTTTAACTCCAAACCTGTTCCTGAAAAGTTACCCTCCTGTAGGTTTTAACTCTAACCCTATTCCTGGAGAGCTACCCTCCTGACACCCCTGATCTATACGGTTGTTGTACCAATGTTTTTGCATTTCTGTTTCATTCAAATAGATATATACAGTATGTCCATTGCATAATGATTATAGACCTAGTTATGTGAAATGATTGAGTGGAAGAAGCTGGTTTGATTGACTGGCTCCTCCTGGTTACCATCTGGTCACGGTTATTCACAGCCCTACATGATGTGTCTTAACTGTCAGCTCTGACAGACAGATAGAGGGCTGTTGAGGGAAAACCAGCAGGATTTATACATATAGTCCTCTCTACAGGGAGCAGAGCTAGGCTACATTATATTATCTTAATATTTATGCAAGTCAGGTTAGAGAGATCAGTGAACAGTTAGTACCAGGACCCTATCAATGCAAAGCAGAAGACTGATGTATTATTTCAATATCACACTATCACCTTCAATATCACACTATCCCCTTCAATATCACACCAGCATCTTCAATATCACACCATCCCCTTCAATATCACACTATCACCTTCAATATCACACTGTCACCTTCAATATCACACTATCACCTTCAATATCACACTATCAACTTCAATATCACACTATCAACTTCAATATCACACTATTACCTTCACTATCACCTTCAATAGCACACTATCCCCTTCCCTAGCACACTATCCCCTTCACTAGCACACTATCCCCTTCAATAGCACACTATACCCTTCACTAGCACACTATCACCTTCAAAAGCACACTATCACCTTCAAAAGCACACTATCACCTTCACTAGCACACTATCACCTTCACTAGCACACTATCCCCTTCACTAGCACACTATCCCCTTCAAAAGCACACTATCCCCTTCACTAGCTCACTATTCCCTTCACTAGCACACTATCACCTTCAATAGCACATTATCCTCTTCAAAAGCACACTATCACCTTCAATAACACACTATCACCTTCAATAGCACACTATTACCTTCACTAGCACACTATCCCCTTCACTAGCACACTATCACCTTCAATAGCACACTATCCCCTTCACCAGCACACTATCACCTTCAATAGCACACTATCCCCTTTACTAGCACACTATCCCCTTCACTAGCACACTATCACCTTCAATAGCACACTATCACCTTCAATAGCACACTATCCCCTTCAAAAGCACACAATCACCTTCAATAGCACACTATCACCTTCAATAGCACACTATCCCCTTCACTAGCACACTATCCCCTTCACTAGCACACTATCACCTTCAATAGCACATTATCCTCTTCAAAAGCACACTATCCCCTTCCCTAGCACACTATCCCCTTCACTAGCACACCAACCCCTTCACTAGCACACTATCCCCTTCACTAGCACACTATCCTCTTCACTAGCACACTATCATCTTCACTTTCTGGATTTTTTTTCTCATTTTGTCTGTCATAGTTGACGTGTACCTATGATGAAAATTACAGGCCTCTCTCATCTTTTTAAGCGGGAGAACTTGCACAATTGGTGGCTGACTAAATACTTTTTTTCCCCACTGTATGCATTCACTAACTATAAGTCGCTCTGGATAAGAGCGTCTGCTAAATGACTAAAATGTAAATGTAATGATTAGAAAAAGTCACACAAAAAAGGCATTGTTTCTTGCCTTAAGCTGTGCATCATTCACAAGTGATAATATATAAATCACAAGTGATAGGCTAATATTGTCACCCATCAGACAATTCTTGATTTAATCTTGTCTTTACATATACTAAATAATATATGTGTGAAATTCGTTTTGATTTAGAATGGACCATTATCATGCACCTGTCTCGAAAACAGGGGCAGGCGAAAAAATGTCATCTCTACACTTAAATAGCGAATGGAGGACGCTTTACCTGTGGTCCATTTTCATGCCAGCCAGGTAGGCTATACTCCTGTTGTAAAGATAAGCAATATGCTTAATATTTGTTTAATATTAGGAAAGTTGTGAAATAAATATAGTAGGCCTAGCCTATAGAAAGCTGATCGGATCCTCCTCTTTTTACATTTACATTACATTTTAGTCATTTAGCAGACGCTCTTATCCAGAGCGACTTACAGTTAGTGAGTGCATACATTATATATTTTTTTCCATACTGGCCCCCCGTGGGAATCGAACCCACAACCCTGGCGTTGCAAACACCATGCTCTACCAATATCCCTGCCGGCCATTCCCTCCCCTACCCTGGACGACGCTGGGCCAATTGTGCGCCGCCCCATGGGTCTCCCGGTCGCGGCCGGCTACGACAGAGCCTGGATTCGAACCAGGATCTCTAGTGGCACAGCTAGCACTGCGATGCAGTGCCTTAGACCACTGCACCACTTAGACCAGAGGCCATCACTCTGTTTTCTCCCGGAATTGCATAGCTTATAGAAATGTTGCGCAACATGAGCTCATGGGCTCTCATGAAGTGTTTGATTAGATTTTCAATGACATTTGCATTGATGTCAGATTGATTAGGTGACAATAGAGTGCTGAGTACCAGGCAGTTAGCAAGTTTGGTAGGCTACTAATGACCATCAGCAGCATTAGAGCTTGGAGAAGCCTAATTACCGTGACTAAACGGTCACGTGGAATTTGATTGCCTTCATGACTCATGATCGCCAGTGTGGCGGTAATACAGTCACCGCAACAGCTCTAGTCCACACCCACACTCCACTGTGCTCTATTTCAGTATATACTTTTGGTATGGGGTTTTGATCAAATGATCATATTTATCAAACTGTTACAGTCCACAACCTTGAAAAAGGAAGTGGAAATGCAATGAGGGATGTGTTAATGACTCGGAGGGGATCTAAGTATAGGCTAAATATGTGCCTTTGTGGTCCATACCCTATATCAGGGGTATTCAACTCTTACCCTACGAGGCCCGGGGCCTGCTGGTTTTCTGTTCTACCTGATAATTAATTCCACACACCTGGTGTCCCAGGTCTAAATCAGTCCCTGATTAGAGGGGAACAATTCAAAAATGCAGTGGAACTGGCTTCGAGGTCCAGAGTTGAGTTTGAATGCCCTAAATTATGTCGTTTTAGTATGAGCCTGTAAAGAAATCATCATATTCAACAAACTATTATAGTCCACAAACTAAACGACTGTATAAAAAGGAAGTGAAAATGCCGTGATGCTTGTCTTGGTGAAGCAGGGGGTTTTAACTATAAAGATTTGCTTATGAGGTCCACACACAGTGGCCTTCTTAGTGTAGTTCCTGTATGGGACTATGAGCAAAAGTATTACAGTCAGCAAACTATCATATTCCAAGCAAATGAAAACGCAACGACATACGTGTAACTAAAGGAGGGGGCTCTGTAGGATAGTGATTTACCTATGCAGTCCACAGTATTCTGATGAACTATCAGTATGAGTGTGTTGTTGTCTGGTGCTAAGTGTTTACTTCCTCTTCCTGTTTCACTGTAACCACCCAGCTGGCTCTGCCTCTTCAGCCACGTCATTGGCTGAGAGACCCCTCTCTCTGACTGTATCTCCAACCTTTATTGTACCTCTCTCACACACCCTCTCTCTCTCCCCACTCTCTCAATCCCATGCATTTCCCTCCAGCTGCTTCTCCATGCCAGCTGTCCTGAAGATCTCTCTCTCTGTCTGGATCCAATTGATTCACTGTAACAGTGATCCTGGGCTGTGATTCATGCCTGCTAGTAATAACTGTAATGTATGACAGCTCTATTGGATCCCTCATCACTGGGTGCCAGGGTGCCGGAGTAGGGCTGCGTCCCAAATGGCAAACCCTTTACCAGAATAGTGTACTACTTTGTCCAAGGCCCATAGGGTTGTGGTCAAAACTAGTACACTATACAGAGAATATGGTGCCATTTGGGATGCAGGCTTGAGTTATGGCAGAAGGTGGTGGTGGATACATTCAGTCTCAGTGGTCATACTACCTTTGTTGATGGAAGTCTTTAGGACATTATTTATGAGTCTGTATATTGAATATAAAGACGCTGTGCAGCACAAAGTGTGAATGGAACTAATGGGGATGTGGAAACAGGAGAGGGTGGCAGAGAGAGTTTGACAAAGAGATTGTTAGCAATAGAAAAACTGATAGAATCAGAGGGTGAGCAGACATTGAGTAGACAGTGAAAGAAAGACAGTAAAATAGAGACTGCGAAGGAGAAATAGACAAAAAGTGAAAGGTCAAAAGAGAAAGAGCTCAATAACAGCAATGGAGAACTGACTTCTGAAAACAAGCACTGGTCTCATTCAGCACTTGTACTGACAGGAAGAGACAGACAGACAGACAGACAGACAGACAGACAGACAGACAGACAGACAGACAGACAGACAGACAGACAGACAGACAGACAGACAGACAGACAGACAGACAGACAGACGGACGGACGGACGGACAGACGGATAGATGGATGGATGGGATAGATAGATACCCAGACTAACCCTACACAACACAACATTTACATTTACATTTTAGTCATTTAGCAGACGCTCTTAACCAGAGCGACTTACAGGAGCAATTAGGGTTAAGTGCCTTGCTCAAGGGCACATTAACGTCATTTAGCAGACGCTCTTAGCCAGAGCGACTCGCAAATTGGTGCGTTCACCCTATAGCCAGTGGGATAACCACTTTACAATTTGGGGGGGGGGGGGGTTAGAAGGAATACTTTATCCTATCCCAGGTATTCCTTAAAGAGGTGGGGTTTCAAATGTCTCCGGAAGGTGGTGAGTGACTCCGCTGTCCTGGCGTCGTGAGGGAGCTTGTTCCACCATTGGGGTGCCAGAGCAGCGAACAGTTTTGACTGGGCTGAGCGGGAGCTGTGCTTCCGCAGAGGAAGGGGAGCCAGCAGGCCAGAGGTGGATGAACGCAATGTCCTCGTTTGGGTGTAGGGACTGATCAGAGCCTGAAGGTACAGAGGTGCCGTTCCCCTCACTGCTCCATAGGCAAGCACCATGGTCTTGTAGCGGATGCGAGCTTCAACTGGAAGCCAGTGGAGTGTGCGGAGGAGGGGGGTGACGTGAGAGAACTTGGGAAGGTTGAACACCAGACGGGCTGCGGCATTCTGGATGAGTTGTAGGGGTTTAATGGCACAGGCAGGGAGCCCAGCCAACAGCGAGTTGCAGTAGTCCAGACGGGAGATGACAAGTGCCTGGACCAGGACCTGCGCCGCTTCCTGTGTAAGGCAGGGTCGCACTCTCCGAATGTTGTAGAGCATGAACCTGCAGGAGCGGGTCACCGCCTTGATGTTGGCGGAGAACGACAGTGGTGGAAAAAGTACCCAATTGTCATACTTGAGTAAAAGTGAAGATACCTTAAAAGAAAATGACTCAACTAAAAGTGAAAGTCACCCAGTAAAATACTACTTGAGTAAAAGTCTAAAAGTATTTGGTTTTAAATATACTTAAGTATCAAAAGTAAACGTAATCGCTAAAATATACTGAAGTATCAAAAGTAAAAGTAAAAGTATAAATCATTTCAAATTCCTTATATTAAGCAAACCAGACGGCACAATTATTATTATTTTTTTATTTACGGATAGCCAGGGGCACACTTTAACACTCAGACATAATTTACAAACAAAGCATTTGTGTTTAGTGAGTCAGCCAGATCAGAGGCAGTAGGGATAACCAGGGATGTTCTCTTGAAAAGTGTGTGAATTGGAACATTTTTCTGTCCTGCTAAGCATTCAAAATGTAACGAGTACTTTTGGGTGTCAGGGAAAATGTATGGAGTAAAAAGTACATTATTTTCTTTAGGAATGTAGTGGAGTAAAAGTAAAAGTTGTCAAAAATATAAATAGTAAAGTATAGTACAGATACCCCAAAAAACTACTTAAGTAGTACTTTAAAGTATTTTTACTTAAGTACTTTACACCACTGAAGATACCTTAATAGAAAATGACTCAAGTAAAAGTGAAAGTCACCCAGTAAAATCCTACTTGAGTAAAAGTCTAAAAGTATTTGGTTTTAAAGATACTTAAGTATCAAAAGTAAACGTAATTGCTCAAATATACTTAAGTGTCACGAATTCCGCCGAGACTGCTCCTCCTCCTTGTTCGGGCAGGCTTCGCCGTTCGTCGTCCCCGGAGTACTAGCTGCTACCGCTTGATGTTCTCTATGTTTGTTTGGTTTTGTCTTGTTGGTGCACCTGTTTCGTATTATGTATTGATTATGTCACCTATAAGTTTCCTTTGGTTTTGTTTGCAGTTGTGTGTTGTTGTCCGCTGTCCGCTGGTGAATGTTATTTGTTTCCTAGTTGTTAGTGTTTTACGCACTGTTTGCGTAATCGCTCGCCTCCTGTGTTTTGAGGCCCGTTATTTTGTATTTGTCTTTGTGACAATTAAAGTCGTTTTCGACTAAGCTTCTGTGTCCTGCGCCTGACTCCAACACCGCATCCACATCAGCTTCTGACATTAAGTATCAAAAAGTAAAAGTAAAGGTATAAATCATTTAAAATTCCTTCTATTAAGAAAACCAGACAGCACCATTTTCTTGTTTTTTAAATGTACGGATAGCTAGGGGCACACTCCAACACTACAAATGAAGTATGTGTTTTGTGAGTCCACCAGATCAGAGGCAGTAGGGTTGACCAGGGATGTTCTCTTGATAAGTGTGTGAATTAGACCATTTTTGAGTACTTTTGGGTGTAATGGAAAATGTATGGAGTAAAAAGTACATAATTTTCTTTAGGAATGTAGTGAAGTAAAAGTAGTCAAAAATATAAACAGTAAAGTACAGATACCCCAAAAAAACGACTTAAGTAGTACTTTCAAGTATTTTTACTTAAGTACTTTACACCACTGACAACCACCCCCAGGTCTGACAGTGACACCCTCCACCTCATTCAGAATAATATATAGTATTACAGCCTGCCCTGGAGACTGGCTTGAAGGCTGGAAAGGGATGAAATAAGGAGTAAATGTGCACATGCACGCACACAGACCCCACCCTCACCCCCACCTTCCTCTCTACATTATGTGCAATGATGTTCAAAGGTTTACAGGCATATTATTGTGGCCGTCTTTTTCCAGCAGACGGCCCAGAGCAGTAGCCAGTAAAAACAGTTAGTGGACTGAGCAGCCAGTTGACCCCTGACCCTGGCTCAAAGGGAATATGGAACATCCAGAGCAGTGAGTCAGAGCAGTGCTGCTCTGGGGTTTAGGCTTTGTTGTCTAAGAGAGACAGCTTCCCTCTCTCTCACTCATCCGCCCACCCCGTATAGCCAGCCCGCACCCAAGCTATCTACCCGAACACATCGACAGATCCCTCAAACACATCCTAACGCAACACGCACCAATCCGCGTGCGCCCTACCATTCTCTTCTCGTCAACCGACCAAATCTTCCCTCCTCACCCATCTCTCCTCTCCCTCACCCATCTCTCTCCTCTCCCTCACCCATCTCTCTCCTCTCCCTCACCCATCTCTTCTCGCTCCCTTCTCTCCAACTCTTCAGCATTTTCCCAAGTGCAGTCCAGTCCAACAGACACAGGCCAGTCTGACAGGGCTAGCTGCTCTCCTGTTACTGACACAAACATGTCCAAACAAGATTAGGACTGAGGCATTTAAATAGACAGAGGTCCTGCAAAACTAAAGTGTCACATTTCAACAGGCTAAACTGAACTAACATTCGGCTCATGTTTAGGAAAGTTGGTGATGTATCATGTTATTGAATGTGATCTGCACAATCACTTCAAGCCCAGCTAATATCTACCCCTTGGAGATAAGAAAAAAGTGGATTAAATTGAATTGAGCTCTGCCTTGTTAGACCATAATAGTACAAGGAAAATTTGACTTTATCTATAGAGTAAACCCTATGGTGTAGGTAGGGCTATCCTTTTTGGAGTTGGGTAATAAAACCCATTGCAAGCAGGCACAACTGTAACTGGTTACTTGCCAGATGGATAAGGCTAACATTATCAATGAATCATCTGTAGTAAACTAGACGTTTACAAGATATGTCTGCATCCCATTTCATAGTAACTGGTCTCTCTTGACATATTGAGCTATCCACCCACAGACATTGCGCCTTGAAATGCAAACAGCAAACTGTGGGTTATATATGTTTATTATAATGTATCTGTTGAATTTAATTGAATGTGTTTGCCATCTGTCTCGGTTTGTCTGTTTGTTTATGGTATTCTTGTTTATGTGTATGCCTGTGTTTGTATTGCAGGCATGTGTGTATAGACATGCCTGTGTGCACTGAGTGTACAAAACAATATGAATACCTGCTCTTTCCATGACATACACTGACCAGGTGACAGCTATGATCCCTTATTGATGTCACCTGTTAAGTCCACTTCAATCAGTGTAGATGAAGGGGAGGAAACAGGTTAAAGAATGATTTTTAAGCCTTGAGACAATTGAGACATGGATTGTGTATGTGTGCCATTCACAGGGTGACTGGGCAAGACAAGAGATTTAAGTGCATTTGAACGGGGTATGGTAGTAGGTGCCAGGCGCACTGGTTTGAGTGTCAACAGTTTCCTGTGTGTATCAAGAATGGTCCACCACCCAAAGGACAGCCAACTTGACACAACTGTGGGAAGCATTGGAGTCAACATGGGCCAGCATCCCTGTGGAACGCTTTCGACACCTTGTAGCGTCCATGCCCCAATGAATTGAGGCTGTTCTGAGGGCAAAAGTGGGGGGTGCAACTCAATATTAGGAAGGTGCTTGTGTGTGTGTGTGTGTGTGTGTGTGTGTGTGTGTGTGTGTGTGTCCATGAGGACAAAGGCTATTTTAGGTTTAGGGGTTAGGGTTAGGAGTTAGGTTTAGCGTTACGGGTTAGGGTTAAGGTTATGGTAAGGGTTAGGGAAAATATGATTTTGAATGGAAATAAAATGTTACGTCCCCACGAGGATAGAAGAACATAACGTGTGTGTGTGTGTACATGTATGCATACCTGCGTGTGTGTATCTACATGTGTATGTGTATGCTAATATGTTTGTATATGCAGGCAATACCCTTCAAGGGTGTAAAATGCCTGTATAAATCCCACCAGGCCCCAGAAAGGAACACTAAATGCTGGAACTAGACTGTGTCATCCATGTGATATGAACCATAGGCCTGACTTGGACTGCCCTCACACTCAGAGACATTAGCATTCAACTAGTGAAGCACACTCCAGTGGGGATAGATAGTAGGAATGTCTTGGGCAGCACAGTGCACTTCTGCAGGAGCAAAGTTTAGCTGAAAGACAACTTGTGGGGAAGGAATCCCTATCTCTTGAATTCTTCCCAGGGGAGAGTCTTGAGGCAGTTATTGGCTGTGTCTCAATACTTGTAAACAGCTTCTTACTGCATTCTCACCAAGGAAGAGTCAGTCAGCATAGCAGAGACTTAGGACGTGTTTCAATATTTGTAATCAGTTTACTCACCCTCAATTTACAGTAAGTATCTCCTTCAAGTCATTCATAAGTGAAAGATTGGATTTCACTTTCCTTTCCATATCACTTTACCTGTTATGTTATTTCAGTTGGTGATTATGAAGATACGGGGAGAGGAGTGGAAGAAAGGAAGCCATTCCAGACTATTGACAGGCAGTCTCTTATTTAGAGTAAATGCCTTTCAACTCAGACTATGAAGTCAGCCTCAGATCCCATAGTGCATCGTGACAATATCCAGTAAGTACAGATTCTATACATTGTCCACTGCCTTGTAACTCTATGTAGTTTCAGCATCCCTATCCATTCCTGTTCTGTTTGTCTATTCAGCCCTATAAACTGTCACTTTGTTAACCAGGTGCTTAGACTGTGTGTATGTTAAGTCAAGCCTGGGTTCATAGTTCACTAAGGCAGTTCCTAAAAGTGTGACTCAGTTGTTTTTTATGAAGAGCTGAGAGAGAGGTGTGTAGAGTTGACTGGCACTCACACTCCCTCTTTCACTTCCTCTGTTCCACTTTTAACACACTCCTTCCCTCTCTTAAAGACCATATCTATTCAATAGAGCATGGAGACTGACTTTCTTTCATGCTCTCGCTCTCCCCTCCTCTCAGTTAACATACACTCTCTCTCCTTTCCTCCAAAGACCACTTCATCCATCAGTCACACTACAGAGTCCAGTCACTTCATTCAGCTGCCATGTTGTTCTCCCTGGCACAGCATGGACACAGTATGTGTTCCAGAGTAAAACAAGTTGCCAAGGTCTGTTCTGATTGGAAAAACATGGTCACCTGCTTTCCCACACATCGCACCTGGCATCGCATCACTGAAACCAGACCCAACAACAAACCCTTGCCAACAGCCTTGCTTCAAGACCAGAGTCAAGATTTTGTGTGTGTACTTTGACAAAATCCCTCAACACTAAATTACTCATGTTGCGTCTCACTCTTTTAGGAGGGGTTATGATGATGGAGGTAGACTGTGAATGTGATAACACGACTTGAAACAAACGGTTCTGCTTTAGCCAACTTGTCTTGCCAAGGCAATGTATTATTGAATTAAGAAACAATCCCAGGTTCACTAAATGAAATTACTTCCAGGGTTTCAACACCATGGTCTTCTTTTGTGCAGCATCTGACCTTTTCCCCATGACATCACATGTTCCATCCAGTCAACACAAGTCATCACATGTTCCATTCAGTCAACACAAGTCATCACATGTTCCATCTAGTCAACACAAGTCATCACGTTCCATTCAGTCAACACAAGTCATCACATGTTCCATCTAGTCAACACAAGTCATCACGTTCCATCCAGTCAACACAAGTCATCACATGTTCCATCCAGTCAACACAAGTCATCACATGTTCCATCCAGTCAACACAAGTCATCACATGTTCCATCCAGCACCATCATATTGTATGTTAATGGTTACATTTGACTTGACAGTGTCTATGGCTGCTGTGACTGAGTATAAAGTGGAAGCAGGAGACAGAATAATAATATTCACCTGTAGAAGGTCATCACTCAGTACCTCAGTCTTCTCAGCTCTGTGGAGAGAAACACATAAGAGGTCAAAGGTCAGATAGGCAGACATAATAGGGCTTATTCATTACAGAGAGTTCCAATAGAAGTGTAGTGTGTAGAATTGTCTCCCGAGTGGCGCAGTGGTCTAAGGCACTGCATCGCAGTGCTAGCTGTGCCACTAGAGATCCTGGTTCGAATCCAGGCTCTGTTGTAGCCGGCCGCGACCGGGAGACCCATGGGGCGGCGCGCAATTGGCCCAGCGTCTTCCAGGGTAGGGGAGGGAATGGCCGGCAGGGATGTAGCTCAGTTGATAGAGCATGGCGTTTGCAACGCCAGGGTTGTGGGTTCGATTCCCACAGGGGGTATGAAAAAATAAATAATGCATGCATTAACTGTAAGTCGCTCTGGATAAGAGCGTCTGCTAAATGACTAAAATGTAAATGTAAAATGTAGAACAGAAACGCTAGCCTGGTTAAACCAGACTGAACTGTGCGCTCACCAGAAACAATGGTAAGTGCAGCGTTCAGTCTGGTTCAACCAGGCTACAGAAATGCTTCTCTGTTGTAAAGAATAGAGAATGGTGTCAGTTCTATACTTTGCATTTCTACCTGCACCATGGTGGTATTTAAGATATTATATGGTATGGAAAGCCCAACTGTAGTGCAGGGCCTGTGCCAGATCACACTCTCTCATAGTTTATAAGACTTCTCTACTGATTTACACCAATGCAATTCCAGGACTGACTGAAAGAGTTAATGTGAGCTATTGTGGTACTATAGTGGTGCTGTAAGCCTGCAACTCCACTGCACTTCATTTCAACTTAGTAAGAGTAAAGTTGCAGTGAAAAGAAAATGAACAGAGATTGGCAGAGTAAAGAGTATCTCTCTACTTCTCCATCTCTGAGCAAATACTATGACAGGTAATGAAGACTAACCTGTCTTACTGATTAGGGGCAAGTCATAGGTAACGTCATAGCTAACGTTGCAATTTATTTCTCTCCACAACGCAGCCGGTAGCCCTATAGCAACAAAATAGATTCTGCTATACTATGAGTGGTCTGCACAACAAACATCACAAGTAGACCTAACTCACTCACACACACTGACACTCCACACCTCTGCCTGTGGCTGTTTCCAGGGAGAGGGTCTGTTAGATCCTCCCCCTGTTAGAACACACACTTCCTGTTCCCTGAATTCCAGCCTTTGTTATGGCAACAGCAGGAGGTGAGAGGTCTGTTGATGTCTCAAACATGTAATACCCACTAGTCAGCTTGTATGTTGGAGGAGAGAGAGGAGTAGAGTGGAGAGAGTTTACTGACATCATCCCAAAACCAAAATGCACTATCCCATACACCTGTGGTTTCAAAGGTTTTCTTGGCACTGTGACAGACTTAAAGCCATTCAAATGTTCTTGAGACCCACCCAATAAGCAAAAACTGTTGACATTTTAGTCATTTTAGCAGACACTCTTATCCAGAGCGACTTACAGTTAGTGAGTGCATACATTTTTCATACTGGCCCCCCGTGGGAATCGAACCCACAACCCTGGCGTTGCAAACGCCATGCTCTACCAACTGAGCTACACAGGGCCTGTTTCTCGACGCAATCTAACATTCAGCCACAACGAATCAGGTACAAGTGAAACCCATATTGATCTTCCTGATCCACCTTTTGGGAAACACAGCCTACCAATCTTAACACCATCATTCACTGTGGAAAAGAAGAACAGCCAATATTCTCCATAGACCTACCCTACATCTGTAATAACACAACTCTCTCTCCCCTTTAATCGAGTGGAGTGGTGGTCCCAGCAGTATATTTTCCCAGCACTTAACAAAAGCCAGACTTAAAGTGTGCTGGGAAGTGAAATGATCATTAGCTCACCATTTAGAGGGTTCTGATAGCTAAGTGATAATTAGCTCACCATTTACAGGGTTCTGATTGTGAAGTGATTCATTAGCTCACCATTTAGAGGGTGCTGATAGTGAAGTCATCATTAGCTCACCATTTAGAGGTTTCTGATAGTGAAGTGATCATTAGCTCACCATTTAGAGGTTTCTGATAGTGAAGTGATCATTAGCTCACCATTTAGAGAGTTCTGATAGTGAAGTGATCATTAGCTCACCATTTAGAGGTTTCTGATAGTGAAGTGATCATTAGCTTACCATTTAGAGGGTTCTGATAGTGAAGTGATCATTATCTCACCATTTAGAGGGTTCTGATAGTGAAGTGATCATTAGCTCACCATTTAGAGGTTTCTGATAGTGAAGTGATCATTAGCTCACCATTTAGAGGTTTCTGATAGTGAAGTGATCATTAGCTCACCATTTAGAGGGTTCTGACAGTGAAGTGATCATTAGCTCACCATTTAGAGGGTTCTGATACTGCTGAGCCAGCAGGATTGCTATAGAGACTTAGGTCATCCCCACTCACACGTGTGAACGTACAGGCACAAACACACCATCTTCCCCAGAGGGTGCTCTCTTACTGGAGTCTGGGCCAACAACATACAGTAATGCTCATTGGGATCAATTAACCCCCTCACACACACAACAGCTGTTACCTAATACTGCTATAACCCACTGAAATAATACCTTACTAAACCCTATACTGCACATTGCTGTACCTAAACCCTGCTTTACTGTAAATGGTACCACTGGTATACAGTACACCATATATAAACTGTGTCTATGATCTATCCCATTGAAAGTAGCAGAATTGTATAAAAGGGATAGTTCAGCGAGTCTACGTATTTACATATTTGCTCCCTTACCTTGAAAGCAGTCTATGGACAAGGAGGGACTAAAATCCACACTTTGGTTTTGTTAAATCGCTGCTGTCCCTTTAATTGGTGAAGTACATTTATAATCTACCAGAGAGACTTGGTATGGATATATTTTAATCCGTATAGGCCACATAAATCAAGCCCTGATATCATCTAGGCCAGACCAATGGCAGCCCAAACCAGAATATCCACACAGACCATGCAGTTGTCACGGATTCTGCCGAGGCTGCCCCTCCTCCTTGCTCGGGCAGGCTGCGGCGTTCGTCGTCACCGGAATACTAGCTGCTGCCGATCTATGTTATATGTGTCTATGTTGCACCTGTTGTCTATGTCACACACCTGTTTCCCATTTGTGTAATCACGCCTACCCTATTTAACCCAGGTGCTCCCAATGTGTCTTGTGCGTGGTTGTTTTTCGTTTTCGTGTGTCGTTTGGTGAGCGGGTTAGTTCCTTCCTGCGTGAAGGTATTGCTGTGTTGTTTTCTTTACTCAAGTTCAGTAAAGTGCGTTTCCTCGAGTTCTGTGTCCTGCGCCTGACTTCGATCCACCGCATTACACTGACACTCGTTACAGAACCACGCACCATCTATGGAGTCAGCAGGTACAGCTCGTCAGTCCGAATCTATGGAGGAACGTTTTCAACGACAGGAGAGTGTCATCCAGGCGCTCGGCACCGCCATGGAGAGGGTGATGAACACGATGGACCGTTGGGAGAGAGGTGGCCTTCCCACACCACCTCCAACCACTCTACCACCCATACCACAGTCCACCTCTTCTCCACCTGGGCCCAGTGGGATTCGGCTCTCGCTCCCGAGGGCATATGACGGTACACCAGCCGGGTGTCAGGGTTTCCTGCTCCAGGTAGAGCTCTACCTGGCAACCATCCACCCGGCGCCCCCGGGATACGAGAGCGTGTCCACCCTCATCTCCTGTCTGTCGGGGAAGGCGCTCGAGTGGGCCAACGCCGAGTGGGGAGGAATTGACGCTGCATCGGTCCGCTACGAGGAGTTCACCCGCCGCTTCCGGGCGGTATTCGATCATCCACCAGAGGGGAGAGCGGCGGGCGAGCGTCTGTTCCACCTACGACAGGAGAGGAGGAGCGCCCAGGATTTTGTGCTGGAGTTCAGGACATTGGCAGCCAGCGCCGGATGGAATGAGAGGGCCCTGATCGACCACTATCGGTGCAGCCTAAGGGAGGACGTTCGGCGGGAACTGGCCTGCAGGGATACCAATCTCAATCTGGACCAACTGGTGGAGATGTCCATCAGGCTGGATAACCTGTTGGAGACCCGCGGACGTTCTGATCAGGGCTCATTCATTCCATCCCCCAGCACCTCCGACTCTACCCCCATGGAGCTCGGAGGTGCTGCACTTAGGGAGACCAGGAGAGGGGCCGTCCCCTGCACCAACTGTGGCTGCAGAGGACACACTGCGGTTCGGTGCTGGGGAGGGTTCCCAGGGAGTCGAGGCAGTAAGCAGAGCACTGGTCGACCATCTCAGGTGAGTAGGCACCCGACTCACCCAGAGCTCCCTGTTGGTTAGTTGTTTATAGAGGTTGTGTTTCCGGAGTTTTCTCCTCATTCCCAGCATAATGCGCTAGTAGATTCAAGCGCAGCTGTGAATTTTATTGATCGTCAATATTCTCTTAGGTTAGGGATTCCTACTGTTCGTGTTGATGTGACTTTTCCTGTCCACGCATTAGATAGTCGCCCGCTAGGGTCAGGTCTAATCAGGGAGGTTACCGCACCACTCTCTATGAGGACGCAGGGGGGTTATGAGGAGAGGATTAGTCTCTATCTGATTGATTCTCCTGCGTATCCTGTGGTGTTGGGACTTCCCTGGTTAACCACTCATGATCCCACTATTTCCTGGCAACAGAGGGCTCTCAAGGGATGGTCCAGTCAGTGCTCGGGGAGGTGTGTAGGGGTTTCCTTGGGGGCTACTACGGTGGAGAGTCCAAACCAGGTCTCCACAGTGCACATTCCTTCTGAGTATGCCGATTTGGCTCTCGCCTTCAGTAAGAAGAGGGCGACTAAATTACCACCCCATCGTCCAGGGGATTGTGCGATAAATCTCCAGGTAGGCGCTGCACTTCCCCGGAGTCACGTGTATCCTCTGTCACAGGCGGAGAAGGCGGCTATGGAAACATATGTCTCCGAATCGCTGAGACAGGGATACATTCGGCCTTCCACTTCACCTGATTCCTCAAGTTTCTTTTTCGTAAAGAAGAAGGATGGTG